TATATTGCAGCAACGAACTGTACCTAGAGTCGAAGCAAGACTACAAAGGTTAAGTAAGTAACTACAAGTTAGAGATAGATGTAACAAAGTACTCACTCTTCAGTCAGTAAGGAAAGACTGAAGAGGGAGGACGCAATCTGAAGTCCTTATATACTACAGAGAAGTGTCCATGACTAATCGAAGAGTGGTTAGTCACATGTACCATAGTGCGATGAATAATACAATGACGAAAGAATTGCGACGTATCGCACCATAGGATGAGTAAGAGATGAGTAAGGCATAGACCTGTCTAGACCGTTCTGGAGTAGTACAGATTGTCCTAGACAGTACCAGAAGAGTCCGGAAGCATAGCTATAGTACACGAGCAGAGAGTCCCAAATATGGTAACATACTACATAAGCGACTACAGCTAAGCGCTAGGAGACGCATAGCCTCGTGTAGTCCGGACCGGATAAGTCCAAGTTCAACAGGCTGTGTTAGGCAACCTGTGTAAACCAGCGCCTGTTCAACATGCACAATCAACGGCAGACACATTTCGGCTACACGTGACACCACGACGTTCAGACTGAGAGTTGTGTCATGCAAATATGTGGGATGCTGCCACGAGTGCGGAGCTGGTGAGCCCGCAAGGGCATCCGGCGAAATCAAATGTTGGCCCATTCTGCCCCGACCCCCTTTTCCATGACGAAACGGTGAATGTCTGGTACGCAGAGCGGCCGGTCCCTGATATCCCTCAGATGGTGTCGGAGAGCGATTCGGGACACAAGGGTTTCGTCAGATGGAAGACGCATCACAATGGCGTGGGGAGGTAGAACGATGCGTGGTGAAGGAGCGAAGCAGCGTTTTCAGAGGCTTTCGGTGTAACATGGGGGCGTGAATCGCACGTCGGGTTCTCTCCAGACTGCAGGAACGAGACACTATCGTAAGAAGATGACGGTATGATTTAGCGAGTACATCACCGATGTCATCCATGGTCGTTATGGTACACTGTACTCGGCGGTTGACCTTATTCTGAGAGCCTCTACACAGGCTGCGGCTCAGTCGCCGTGACGTATACGTAGCAGTTCTATTCCGCTCAAATGTACTCTACAGGGTAGCCATCTTGGGGATGTATGACCACGAGACGTCGTGCAAATTCTCGTTCATGAGTGTAGCGTGGTATCCAGCGGTGAAGGTACTATGCAATGCTCGGAAATAGGAGGTTGCCTTGCAGCGAGGCGGGAAGAGTCGTTCAAACATCCCGATGAGCGCCACGTCTTCCCGCCTGCAGTGCGAACAAGAACGCGTTCAGCTCGTCTCCGCGTCTCTTACAATCTCCTAGGTTCTCCGGGAGATCCAGGTGAGGGAAGAGCCTGTCGACCGCCAGCCCAAGACGATGTAGCGACAGTTTTGGTTTGAGGAAGTGGATGGTCAGGAGCTCTAGGCCGTGGTTCGGCATAGGCACCTCAGAGATGCCAGGGACAGAGGCGAGATCGACATAGGGAAGAGTAAACCTCCGGAGCTGCGGGTGTGCCTTTGCGAACGCGATAACGGTGGGGACAGCGGGGATGCTGTCTGTCCAGGAGATGCTGTCCTCGTCCATCTTTTCGAGGCCTCGCTTCGTGAACGTGAACTCAAAGCCAGTGAGATCTGGCCAGAGACCTTCGAGCGCTCTGAGGTCATCGTCCTTGATGGGTATGTATATGTCCGCTCGGAACGTAAGGCGACGCAAGCTAGGGAGCCAGTGCAAAGGCTCTATAAGATCCGCCGCACTAGGGATGAGATCCGGGTCGGACACCGAGCCGTTCTCTATAATGACGGTGAGGCGATGCAAAGATCGCGGGAATTTGGAGTACACCGAATCCAGCTGCTGTCTTCGGTCGTCGCCACTGAGGTCGTCCACGATGTTCTGGGATATCGTGATAGTGAGCGACTCGAGTTCTGGGGGAGAAGTGTTCTCAAGGAAAATTGCGATATCGGCTAGCTTCCCTCCTACGCCTAGGTCACGCAGCTCAGGGAACCCGCTGCTCAGTTCCAGTTTCGTGTCCTCCGATTCACCGAGATCTATCTCCTGGATGTTCAGACTCAGTGAGCAGAGGCTTGGAAATGTCGTGAGCGATCGAAGGAGGTCAGGTGTGAGTTTGACCTTGTGAAGGACTCTCAGCGAACGCAGGTGCGCCAGTTGCCAGAACTCGACGGCTCTAGGTGGGTCGTCCTTGCCCGACTGAAGGTCAATCGAGAGAGATTCGACGCGCTGGAAGACTGGCTGCAACTCTCCGAGAATGAGGTCCGAGACCTCGGGCGGCGACTTCTCTAGACCCCGCATACTGAGCTGGATGTGCTGAAGATTCGGCGACATCAGCATCATCTTGGCAGGACCGGAGACGTAGCTGCTGATGTGAAAGTTGAGGAGACGTTTCAGGCGAGGACATAGTGGGCCGCGGGGACACCATCTCGAAAGGATAATCCAGGTCGAGTTGTCCCAATTGGCGTCGCTCGTCACGCGTAGCTCGTGAACTCGGATGGCCAAAGATTGGAAGCGAACCCACTCCTCTGGAGTGATATCTCGGTTGAACGTCTATTGAGCCGGGCGTGAGAGAGGTAAATGAAGCACCACGGCTTCTACACGGCGCTCACGTAGTATGCTTCACCCGCAGTTGATAGTTTCGCCGACTTTACGTAAGACGGGAGGGTAGAGATGAGGTGCACGATGTCGTCGACGACTCTCCAAAGGACGTCGAGGGCGGGCTCGGAGAGCGCACGACAGACGAGGGCTGCGCGGGCAAGCGTCTTCTGTGCCCTGCGCCTCTCGGCCCTCTCCCATGGTAACGTGTCCTCGTCAGGATAAGACCCAGGTGATAGCTGGGCGAAGACTGCGTCCGCGACGTCGCGTCGTAGAAACAATCGGGCACCAGCGTCGTTCATCTACGACGCTTATGTCAGTGGGATGCTGGTTTTAGCTGACAAGTTCACTTACATTGAACAAAAGCCAACCACTAGTCGATGGTGATAGTTGCAGTGAGAGGAGATATGCTGCATTCGGGGGGCAATGTCGGACACGGGATTTATCAAGCGCTTATCAGGGTATTGGGATGGTTGCAGGCTTCTCGGATTCGATGCAATGCATGGGTATATTTTTGAGAGCCCAGGGGAATTACCTAGGCAATTTTCACGTCGCTCAAGCTACGATCGCCTGGATCTCGGACAACTCAATGTGGATCCAGTATGTGCAGAGCTATATGCCTTCCTGGAATGGCAATGATCTTAGGTACCAACCGATGTAAAGGTGCAAGGGCCTTCTGCGCATGTGGTGACAATGCCGAAGGTCGAGAAGCGCCGGGATCTCCTTACCCGAGCTGGAGCGTCCTGGATCATGCAATACGATGAAAACATGCAATCTCTGGCTGCACTGCTCAATACACGCCAGTTATTCGCTCCTGATTGATGACAATGCATGCATCGAAACGAAAAATGGGTGGCATTGGAGACGTGGTATGATTGATGCGAGGTGCGACTACAACAGACAACAGCGTGTGACATAGACAATAGACATAGACAGACAGGACGAGAACGACAGCAGCTACACGTACACCGAGCCCTCCAAGGACGCCTGGGTATCCAGTACAACGTCCAGTGGCAGGAAACGTGAAGATATGCACAATGAAGAAAGGAGTCCGTCGAGCATGGCTAGCGTCATGAGCTCGTGTACTCAAAGTCCGGGAAGTGCTCCCCATACAGGTCTCTGGTGATCTCGCCATACCGCGCAGCGGCGTTTTCTTCTGGGTATCGTTCGAATCTACGGCACACGCGCATGTCAGCCCTCCGACCTGCCCAGTGCAAATGACAAGACGACGTACGCGCTCGCATCCCCATCGTTCGCGATCTTCGGCAGATACGGCGCCGTGATCTCCCTGTTCAACAGCTTCTTCCAGTCCACCTCCGCAAACCACGGGTGCGCGAAGACGTCCCCCGCGCCGTGCGCGAGGTTCCCAAACCGCTTGCTCGGGTCACGCTCCATGAACTTCAGAATCAGATCCGTGGCGTTCGCATTGAACGCCGGCCATTTGATGCACGCCGGGCCCTGTGCGATCTTCTCGTACAGCACCACGGGCGAGATGTCTGGCTCGTGGAACGGTGGCAGCCCGGAGAGCATCTCGAAGATCAGCACCCCGAGTGCGTACCAGTCCACGCTTTTGTTGTACCGTACGTTGCCGATAATCTACGTGCAGCTGCGGTCAGCGGCGGTCGCGGAGACGGGCTCGGACGTCGTCAGCGGAGCTCGCCCTCACCTCGGGTGCAAGGTAGTCTGGGGTACCGCACAGCGTCCAGACGGTCGTCGTGCAGTGCTTCGCGAAGCCGAAATCTGCGATCTTGATGTGGCCGTCGAAATTCAAAAGAATGTTTTCGGGCTTCAGGTCGCGGTAAATGATGTCCTTTGAGTGGAGATAGTTGAGCGCGAGTGCGACCTCTGCCGCGTAGAACTTTGCTACGGGGTCTGGGAAGCGCTGTGGGCAACGATGAGCACCTCCGGTATGCTACGAGTACAGGACGAACTCACATTCGACCTTCGCAGCAACGTGAACAGCTCGCCGCCAGGGACAAAGTCCATGACCATATATAGATTCGCAGTGTCTTGGAACGCGCCCCATAGGTTGATGATGAACGGATGCTGCACCGCCTGCAGGATCATCTGTTCGTTGCGCGTGTGCGACTCCTGCTTCATCCGCACGATCTTCTCCTTGCTCAGGACCTTAATCGCGTAGAAGCGCAAGTTGTGTTTGCTTCGCACTGTGGTCGGCCATCGTCAGTCGTCATGTGCCAGGTAGAGCAACGGTCCAAAACGCAATGCGACACAGGTGCAATCCATCGCGCGCGCAGCAGGCGACAGTGGCACCCCCGTGGAGACTCCTCTTCGCGACGCATCGTACGACAGTGCGCTTTCTGCGGCACCCAGTGCCATAGACGGCAAGCCGCATGCCCGCGAGAACGGCGCGCATGAATGTCGCTCGCGCAGGCAATCGAAGACAGTCGACCGAAGGGAGGCGGATGGCAGATTAGACCGGCCGGCAGAGATGCCATGATGAATCGAAGTATGCAGGGGGAGCGAACATGTCTAGGGTATCGATGCAGTCGCTCGACGACAGCCATCCGGCTCGCATCGGAGGCCAAAGCAGCGCAGGAGGCAGGGACAACTCCCTCGAGAGGGCCTTCGCAGCTGGTGCAGGGCCAATGATAGCAGTGTGCTCACCTAAGTGTACTCGTCCAAAACTGCCCGTTCCAAGGGTGCGTTGAATGATGAAGTCCGAGAGGCGATAGGAGCCCTTGGACCTCCGCATCTGGAGGGCGACCTCGTCCGCTTGGATTGGCCGCTGCGACTGCTGCATCACTTGGCTTGTTTCCTTGACCCACTCGTGCAGAGAGGTGCGGCCGGTGGATATCGATGCGCGGTGTTCGTGCGAGAGCATGGACATGGATTGCGGGGAAGTGTAGGAGGAGGAGGCGGCAGAGGAAGAGTCGGACGAGTCAACCGTGCGGTGGTTTCCAATGTGAAGTTTGGAGGCCATTCTTCTGATCATTGGGCGCAAGGATGTATGCGCACAGCGTGGAGAGCGTTGGGGAGAGGGCGGGACAGAGCGGGCGGAGGAGGATGGATGGGAAGAAGAGGGAAGATGGCGACCATTGTTCTCTGGGCGCCCGCGCGGAGGCTGCCGCCGGGGATGTCACCTTTGTCTTCCGCTTTTGGACCGGGGGACGTTGTTCCGCTGCTGGTCTTGTCTACATTGTATGAGGCGGAGGTTGGTCGGAGGTGCGAGCGGTGCGAAAAGAATGGCTGTGGGGTAGGACGTCGATGATAGTACGGTATGAATTGGTTGGTCATCGACCCGCACGCGAACTCGTATGGGGCGCCCGCGGTTTGCGCAAGTCTTGAGCTGGCCTAAAACCTTACGCGCACGTACAAATCTACTGTATTTCTCGATTGACGCAATCCAACAGTACAGTATATCAGCACAAGTTCTGAACTATGAAAATAAGGGGCGCTTAACCCTTATTTTCATACTTCAGAACTTGTGCTAAGTCCCCCCGGGGGCCCAATCAAGCATCTTCAAGATTTGAGGTGATACTCAATTGTTCACTCGAGTCGCAAGATGCTGGGCTGGGGTCGCCTCATTATATGGCAGGTGCAGGAATCCTGTCAGAAAGGCTACGACACCCATACGGCAATTTGGTATACTATGGGCAATCATTCTCACCAATATTATGTGGTAGGTATCGTTCCTGGCTTGAGCGGTTGCCTGTGCGTCTCGGGGCTAGCAGGCAGCCATGGCACTGTGTCTGTTGCAGTCGTGTCGGCCAAGATACAGCGTTCTGTGGTAGACTACCCCAGCTAGTAGAATAGATTCGCCGGCCACGATACAGTGGAGGTGAGATCACTACTCGAGATCTCACTCCACTTCTTCCAGAGCGAGTGCGCATTCATGACCGAGGCGACAAACGACGACGACTCCGTCTTCGCGGGCACCTGTGTGCCTCGCAAGTAGTGTGTCCAAATGCTTGTCACTCGGGTTTTCGGGAAACTCTTCAGCAACGTCAAACTCTGTGATCGGTTGCCACGCTACCAATGGTGAAGCAGCACAAGGAGATTGTATAGTCTCCAAGCAGATGGGCCTGACTGGCATGCACCGAACACTTGTTGAGTCAGAAATCGCATATTTCCTGTCGTACTCTATGGATGACGACCCACTCTACATGACTCTCGAACCCCAATCGCAGTCCTGGTCTTGGTGACAGCGAGCTCTATGACTTCATATGATCCGAGAGGGCACATGTTGGACGCTCTAGCACTCTTGGTATCATCGAGCCCCGACACTTTCCCTCTGAGTGAACTGTTCCATAATATCGTCCCCAGCATTTACAATTTGTATACAGATCCGAGTCAGAATACAGTAGGAAGAGTGTTACAGCGCAAGTGATATCGCAAATCACACAGCAGAAGCAGTAACACGGAAAGACGTAAGCTCATGTCCATCTCCTCCGTCAAGCTTTGATGTAGTACTCTCGTTCACGTAAATCTCGCGGTTCGACAAGTCCGCAACGGTTGCCATTGTTGCAGCGGCTCCTGTGAATCCCCCGACTCCTGTTCCTGACTTTCCCGCCCTCCACGTCAGCGTACGACTCCTTGGATGTTGGGTTGTGTAATAGCTATCGCCGTGACGTCGATACCCGATCCGGAGGATGACAATGGAGAAGATGATTCCAACCAAGGGGGTAGCCTGGACCACAGGCCGTCAGAAGGCCACGAGTTGGGGATGATACCGAGCACTCACCATCTCGGACATTATCTCAAGACCTTGTGAGCCAAAGCTGAGCGTCATCACGAAAGCGAATAGGGTTGCGGCATTGATAGCGCCACTCTCAAGGATTATTCGGATGATGGGTGTGAGGCTCGATCCGGCGGAATCAATAGCAACGTGGGCCCTCTGGCGGTCAACGTACCAGATACGGAACGCTAGCAACGCTAGGAAGCTATCAATACAACATGACACATTGGTATCCAGATCGCTGATACTGACAAGTTGCTAGCGCGTTGGCCACTAAGCTGAGAGAAAAGAACGACTTCAACCACTTCGCTTCCGAAGGTATAGTTTGGTCAGGAAGATTGCTGTACGCCCACATAGTGTAATAACCTGCCACTATGTCCGCTGTAAGCGCACCCCGACGTCTCATTGAGCGCACATATCGGCTCCATACCTGTGCTTACACACGATAGACCCATAGGTAGGAGAACAATCCAGATATTCTTTCCCCAGACTACCCAGCAACGATAGATCTTATTTAATTATGTATGAGTTGGTCAAGGTTCAGAGAGATCATGAACTGGTACTTACGACGAAAGAATCGCCCACAAACAGGGATGTGATGAAAAGGATGTGCTTGGTCGTAAATAACGGTTGAGTGACATCCTCAAGGTATGCCAGGCGTGCCGAGCGAGGATCATGGCGAATGAATGCGACGAAGACGTTCGCAACGTCGACAATGAAACGGGCAGTAGCCAGTACAATGAGCAGGACGCCCGCGGTCACCATCGGCCAACTGAGTTCTGACTCCTGTCGTGCACGTCGGCGGACAAGGTCGTACCCACACACGCAGAAAAGACAGAGGAAGATGCCTGAAGGATCGTCAAGACATTTCCATATTATTTAGGTAGCGTGTGATGGGATTTATAGACATACCATACAAGGCTCCTTCAGCCGCCAGACCGGCAAGTTCGGCGACATCAATGAGCATAGGCATCGCGGCCTCTCAAGTCTTGGGCGCGTGTCGATAGAGGAGCTATGGAGATCGTGAGGGAGAGGAGGGGTTGCAACTCCAGTGTATGGAGAGAGCGATGGGGACGACAGGATACACTTTCCTACTCGTTCCCATCACCATGGGATCGTCAATATATATTGGTTGAGACGTTTTCACTACGCACTGCGGATGCTGAGTTAATCTTCGCTGTAACAGCGACGACAGTGCATCCGGCCTAGAGGTGGCCAACGGCAGAACCTTGTCCGCTGATGCTTTCCGTGGAGGCATGAAGCTTGACGGCACCATTGATGCAAGACGTCCCAAGGTACCCTTCGGGATCCGTAATAGGGAACACAGTAGGACTAGAAAGCACAATACGTAACTCACGTTCTCACGACCTGGGCATGTGGGTCGAATTGCTGAACTTGCGCATACTGGGTTTGCAGGTGGCAAGCGGAAGGGAACACTTTAGTATGATGTTGATAATAAATGGAACACGTCGGAGAGGTGAAGAATATCTTAAGCTGCAGTTGTATGAATAGCGATCCACTGAGAGCCGGCAGGATATCCGAGAAGCTGCAGTATACAAGCTTCAGGAGGCGATGAGTACCCTGTTGACAGATAGCCGCTTATCAGGTAGATGTAGTCTGCGCCCAGAAGCGAAAGGTGGCACCTTCGCTCCGTGGGTTGCTGAAGCACGCATCGGCATCTTGAGTCATGCAACAGCCTCTGATGACTTACAACCTCCCAAAGGCTCGATGCAAGGAGCGAGACGCAAGGTCCCTACTTCTCCTAGCACGACTGGGACAGGCCTGGTAACACCAATGGAAGCGATCTCTCGGACCTGGAGGCGAGTACAGCGGAAGGTTGTTAGGACACCGACGATGTGGGGATCGAACTCGAGCGATTGCTTCAGTTCTGTTGTAAGGTTCGCGTCCCTCTAATACATCGCCAATCAGCAGCAGTGGTCGGGTTCGAGAAGGGTCCAATCATGGCGAATACGTTGACGATGATATCAACAACGGATGCAATTTTCATACAGACCCACAGCCATGGGAAAGGAGCACGAACGCACCCGAGAGCGCCATAACAGCATCATGTCATACAACGCTGAACGAGTGCAGTTCATGTACATGTACATCTGCTTCACCAATCTTCGATGTCGTACTCTTGTTCACGTAAATTTCGAAGTTAGGATCTGCAACAGCGGCGGTCGTCCCCGCAGCTCTAGGTAGACCTGGGAGCCTCTTGTCAGACGTGCGAGCTGTCGCCCACATTGACGCTCGAGCTCCTTGTTGAGAATTGTAGTAGTAGTTGTCGTCGTGACGACGATGCCCGACGCGGAGAATGACGATGGAGAAGATGATTCCGACCAAGGGGGTAGCCTAGGCAATGGAAGCATTAGAGAGCGGCGAGGATACGCCATGCAGATCTGAACGTTTACTACCATCTCCGATATCACCTCAAGACCTTGCGAGCCAAAGCTGAGTGTCATAACGAAGGCAAACAGGGTGGCGGCGTTGATGGCACCGCTCTCGAGGATTATGCGGATGATGGGCGTGAGGCTTGCCCAATAAGCATCTACCGCGATAGGCCCCCTCTGGCGGGCCCTCTGGCGGTCGACATACCAGATACGGAACGCGAGCATCGCTGGAGAGCCATGAGTACATTGAGCAAACGACATAGAGGTCAACGATACTCACAGGTCGCGAGGGCGTTTGCTACCAAGCTGAGAGCAAAGAATGCTTTCAACCACTTCGCTTCTGAAAGTATAGTTTGGTCGGGAAGGTTGCCGTATGCCCACATCGTGTAGTATCCTGCCACTGCACCCCCTGTAAGCACACCCTCACATGTCGTCGCATGTACCTCACGACTTCGTACCTGTGCTTACACATGAAAGACCGATAGGCAGAAGTACAACCCAGATATTCTTGCCCCAAACCACCCAGCAGCGGTAATTCTGCGATGAATTGTGCTCGAACAGGGGGGTTCTCCAGACTATACAGGGACATCGTACTCACCACGAAAGAGTCGCCTACGAATAAGGACGTGATGAAGATGATGTGCTTGGCCGCGAACAATGGCTGAGTGACGTCCTCGAGGTATGCCAGGCGCGCCGAGCGAGGATCGTGGCGAATGAACGCGACGAAGACGTTCGCAACATCGACAATGAAACGCGCAGTAGCGAGAACGATTAGCAGGACGCCCGCAGTGACCATCGGCCAGTTTAGCTGCGATCCATACCGTGTGCGGCGGCGGACGAGGTCGTAACCACACAGGCAGAACAGACAGAGGAATAGACCTTGAAGATGGCAGGTAGGGATCAGTACGACTAGTAAGCGTCTCCAAGGAGTCATGCCGCGTACCATACAAGGCGCCTTCAGCTGCAAGGCCAGAAAGCTCGGCAACGTCGATGAGCATAGGCATGGTGGTATGTGCCGAATGTTTTGGGCAAGTGGCAATATGAGAGCTCTATACGGGATGTGCGAGGCAATGGGCAGCGCCCAGGCGACGGAAGAAGCAACAATAGCCACAAACAGCTCTACGCCTCTATTTGAGTTCAGTGGATCCAATGATGAGCATGAGTCGAGCAAGTTTGGGATACATACCGGCGATTTGCAAGTTCAGTCGCATCAGCCTCTACAGATCACAGTGCTGCGTTGATGTTGAAGCATCATAGGCGCGATAGGCCTCGAAGACGCTCCCATCTGATAGGAAGAACTGGGCCAGAAGGCAAATCATCTGGGTCTCCGAGTTGCCCACGAGGGTGGCATGTGGTCTTAGCCGTGCCGAGAGCTGAAATGAAGAGAACCGGTACGTCTCTGGGTAGCCGGAGAAAGCCTCCGTGTAAGTAGAGAGGCGACACTTTGCAAAGGAACGAATCCTACTGCTATCAGGTCAACGACTAGTCTGACAGATCACCATCATCGGAACGGGTCGGAAAGAAGTTCAAGGTTACCGTATAAATGCCAATACGTGTAAAGCTAGCGGAACGGAGAGGCAATGAGTATCCTCTTCAGCAATATCCATTGCACGAAAGGACTTGTCTCAGCACATCTATCACGATTCATAGAATGAGGGAGTCGTACCAATGAGGTCAGCGCAGGTCCATGTATGTGGAAGGAATATGCGCGCAAGAGGTTATCTCTAGAGTCGTATAGATCAGTGTTGTCATTGACCCGTCAGTGACGGGGTCGGTCGATGCGTCAAGTCAAAGGGTCAATAGGTCACGTCAATGATGGACCCGTCAATCAATCGTACTATAGATGAGAACATACTGTACAGTTGCTTGCAAGGCGGTTGTCCGGACGGTCACGCTCCGGCGATGTCGTATCCAATCATATCTTCGGCCGTGCAATCGGCATCAGCTGCTGCATGCCACAACGTTCAGAACGCACTTAGGAACAATCAGTCTGTCTAACATGCGGCAAACACTTCAAGGAAATCAGACTCTGCACCGCTGCCCCAGTGATGTCCACGTACGAGACTAGCATGGCATGTGATAGTGTCGCTACTCCTGCGAGGGAGAGCCAATGGTGGGACCTGACCGTGTATGACGGATTTTGAGTAGGATGGTCGGAGCTTGAGGTCTGAAGACTTGTCACCATGGTGTGATGCACAAAAACATTGCTTATCTTCTCGATAGGGACTGGCACCGAGTGGAGAGCAACTCACCTCGATCTGAAGCTACGTCGAGCGACCGATACTACTCGCTCTGATTCCCACCACTCCACCCCATAGCAACCGGACTGACTATCGCGTTCCGACCAGAGGTTGAAGTCGAGCAACGAGATGGAGAAGATCTAATTCAGGCACGCGAACGCATACAGGTCGTCTCACGGAGAAGGGTTTGACCCAACACGAGTGCAGTGGGTGAGTGCGCCATGCCAGTGTGCGTGGGAACTATGCTTGATGCGGCTTGCGGGATGGAATCTGCGACGAGCGAGTATTGTGCGAGGTTCAGGACTTGCGCTAGAGCGGGACGATAGTGATGGAACACGCTCACGTATCGTGTAACAGATACTATGGTGTCGTCTTTCAGGCTGACATGGTCGGTCTCCTGAAGACACTATGTCGTTGTCATCTCGATATTTTTCGCAGGTGAAAAGCGTGCCTTTTCATAAGTGTTGTCCTAACTGAAGAGCAGGTGCGCAAGACGATTATTTGAGCTTTCACGACGAGATCGTGAGCCTCTCCGCCCATGTCAGTATCACTCTCGTAGCGGATGTCTATGGAGTATGGATTTGGAAGAAGCGAGTCACTTGGCGCAGCGGACGAGGAGTTTATGGCCGGAAGGGAGAGGCATCAGTGGAGGTCGGACGCAGGTGTAGTGCACATTTGCGCGGGCGCCCAAACTAAAAGTCATTTCAAAACTATGTACTGTGACCACGTCGCACGTCATATCCTGCGGCGACGATCTTTCTGCTCACTTGACTGTCGCTATCCACGCTGGAAACCTTTCCTCGCCGCTGTTTATATCGCGTTGACCTTTTGGTTGCGTATCATTGTCTCCAATTGTAGAGGCTGGCTGATATCCGCTCAATCAACGATACAACGGCCACAACGCAAGTCATTCCTTCAGCATTGACTCACCTTCCCCTCCCTCATCCACGGCGTACGCATATAGCCAGGGGCCCCCAGCGGCAATTGAGAAGGCTTTAATGACTATCACGACCAAACATTATTCGAGTACGGTTGGGTGACGTCTAGTTTCCCCCTGGCAGTGTGGTTGTGACTCCCTAGGGGCCCGAGCGCACACCGCTATCGACAGAGGGACAAAGAGAAATAGAAGAGGTAGAAGCGGGAATGTCGACTCCGGAAGGTGAGCCTGCACTACTTGTTTCCGTCGTTCCCGTCCGAACGCATAATCATATCTGTCGAGCTAGAGCTCCAGGTAGATGCCACACACAGATCCAACCTGCGAGCTGCGTAAGGGAGGGGTACGTCATGTATTGGGATTTGCTTCGAGAGTTCTGCTTCTTCGTGTAGATGGGTGCACATGACGGCCAGTTTCTGCCACCATCAGCGTGGAAATCTGTCCTCTAGTAGGGTAAACAGCGGTATTGCATGCGTTCTGCAAGGGCAACAGCAAGTTATGAAGGGTCGTTTGCAACAAAACGGATAGTGTTTTTCGGATTTGGATGCGGTAGGACCAGAGACGGTGTCGAAAGTATTGGCATGGGAAATGAAACAGGACGTACGGTGGCCTTATTTTGTCTCCCAAACAGGAATTATGGCTCTGGCTATGTACCGGTGTACACTGGCAGTGTTGAGGTTTTTGGTTGCTTCTGAATATTCTTGATGGTGTCTCCCTTTCCTTCGGATGGCTCATGGGTTGTGGGCGGCCCCAGGCACGCCCTCAGCCTGAGGAGACGTTGAGTTACGAGCGCTTCGCTTACCACTTCCGGTTCCACAGGCCCTGAGCCACCGATCTCTGCGTGATAGTACGTGCTCCTCCTTCCGACTACGGCCATGTTGCGTCAGCTTCTCATAGGAGTTCATATAGGTCTCCCAACGCAGAAATGTCAGTGAAAATGCTATGTCTGGACATTCTACAGATCTACGGGCCTTTCTACTCGCACGAGCGTCCAGACTATCTGCTATATCTGACACTTCGAAAATGGCGTCCGATATCTGAGTCTCGCACAGGGGACGTACACTCCTGCTCTGTGATATCTGACAACATCGACTGGTACTCCGCAAGTGCTAGGACGTGACTGGCTGTAATCGAAACCAACGACAGTCGGACAGACTCTGGCGGAGAGTGCCAGTGGTGACGTGCCAGTGGTTGTGATTTCTGGTCTGTCTATCGTGGTCTTCGGCTTTCTTCGTCTTGCTAGGTGAGGCTATTCAACAGTCTCAGAATCGACAAGTGGGTCCGGGTAGATGCCTTACGACCTAAGTGCATATGATTAAGCTGCTTAGGAAGCATCGTATTACTCATCTAACATAGTGGTGCGCTGCAGGTCTGTTCGATTTGCCATTGTTCCCTTACGTGTCCGCCCGCTACCCTCTACTGATACCGCTCCTGGTTGCGTCTTCTCGCGTCCGCATGCTTGTTAATGCTTCGTCGCAGAGGCTGACTCATGTGCTGACAAGTAAGTCCTCGCGAATGCTCACACGAATAAAAAGCGGTGGTCGCGATGAGGCGGCCTAGCAATATCTATCCTGCACGTTGCAACACCTCCACTGTATATCGAAGTTGCAGCTTCTCCGTCTAGTCATGTCTCATGTCCTTTACGTCGCGCCCGCTCCTAATGTCCCCTATTTCGTACCTCACCAGTACCCTCCCGCTGGGACCGCGGTCGACCCACAGCCTAACGGAGAGAAAATCCCAACGCTCTTCCAGTCCATCACTATCCGTGGAGTGACGTTCCAGAATCGCCTCTGGGTGAGTCTGTGTTACTTAGGACCATAGTGTCGCGCGCCTCTAACTGTCTTTGTTCCTGCAGCTCGCACCTCTTGCCCAGTACTCTGCCGAGAACGGCTGCATCTCTCCCTGGCACTTGGCCCATCGTGAGTATCTCAGATGCTCTTCCTGATGGCATAGGTGATGTTTGACGAAAATTGAGTGGGTGGCATCTTCACTCGCGGTCCCGGTCTCTCGATGGTCGAAGCAACCGCCATCCTCCCTGAAGGGCGCGTCAGTCCCGAAGACGCAGGCATCTGGAACAACGATCAAGCCAACGCCTGGGCTAAGATTGTCGAATTCGCCCACTCCCAAGGCCAGAAGATTGGTATTCAGCTCGCACACGGTGGTCGAAAGTCATCCACGCTTGCTCTGTTCATCCACTCTGGAGCTGTCGCCGAGGAGCATCAGGGTGGATGGCCCAAGGAGGTCGTCGGTCCTAGCCCGTTGGCATATGCAGAGGGCTATCCCGTCCCCAAGGAGCTGACGAAGGAGGGTATCCGGCGGATTGTCGTCGGCTTCGTCGAGGCTGCGAAGCGCGCGGTGAAGGCCGGATTCGACGTCATTGAGATTCACGGCGCTCACGGGTTCTTGATCAGCTCATTCTTGAGCCCGACGAGCAACAAGAGAACGGACGAGTATGGGGGCAGCTTCGAGAACCGAATCCGCCTGGCGATCGAGGTCGTGGACGCGGTCCGTGGGGTTATCCCTCCTACTATGCCCCTATTCATTCGGTATGCCTTCCTTCTGTACCCGATAAGCAGGCATTTGGTTAACACGTGTGGTAGTATCTCGGCTACAGAATGGCTTGAGGAGTCCCTCCCTAACGAGCCTTCCTGGCGATCCGAGGATACAGTCAAGCTCGCAAGCATTCTCGCCGAGCACGGCGTCGACCTCATCGACATATCTTCGAGTGGCAACCACCCTGCGCAGAGGATCAAAACCGGTCCCGCCTATCAGGCGCCGTTCTCCGAGGCGGTGAAGAAAGCAGTCGGTGATAAGATCCTCGTCTCTGTAGTAGGCAGCATCACAGACGGCAAGATAGCGCAGGGCATCCTCGACAAGGTGAGCTCGCTTGACTGACCGTGCCCGGCGAGATCGTGTCGATGCTAAGGTTTCGCAGGGTCAGTCCGACATCATCTTCGTTGGCCGCTGGTTCCAGAAAAACCCTTCGCTTGTCTGGACGTTCGCGGATGACCTCGGTGTCGAGCTTCGTCATTCACGCCAGATTGAATGGCCCTTCCGTGGTCGTGGACAACCGACTGATAAGCGTGAAAGGCTATAGATATTATTAGTATCGCATATGTCACCTGTAGAACGGTTCTCGGTGTCTAGACGACCTCGTGAGAGATTACGGTTGTATACTATAGATACGTGGTTATTAGGAGAAGAATGGGAATCGACTCTTTAGCTACCTCTCCCTCCTGTATGCAAATTAAATTGAAATGGTGGATTGAGCCTTGCTCATGACTTCAGCATGGCGAGATAGCCGGTGCTGTAAAAATCTGATCCGCACGATGCTCAAGTCTTGAGTTCTTGGCACCTCCCAAATTCGTGAGGCGGGGTATGCCATAGGAGTATCAAAGTTATGCGAGAGCGTGGATTGCCAAACGCGTCGACAAGTATTGGTATCGTGAGTACAAGCAAGAAAGCAAATTCGATAAAGCAGACGTCTCATACAGGGTGATAATATCCATTCAGCGGTATCCCACAACTACACACTCCAATCTGTAGCATTGAAAAACTCAGGGTCGCTCTTCACGAAATCGATCATATAGTCGTCGATCGTGCGCCCGTCTTCCTCCTCTCCTTCTCCCTCTTCTCCTGCATGATGGGCTCCACCGTCTTCTATGTCCTCAAGAGCGCGTACCGATACCTCCACCGGAGTTTCGACAACGTCAACCTGCTCCGACTGCGCGATTCTGACCGCTGCCGCCGGCTCATTCCCGAAGTCCTGCGCGTCCTCGTCCTCAAGCTCCATCTCCTCCTGGGCCGCTACCCGCGCCGCCTGCGCGTCCTCTGCGTCTTCGAACTCGCCCAACGCGCGTGTGAGCGCGCCTTCGCTGATATCACCCTCGGCGAAGAGCGTACGCCAATCGAACTCGCCCTTCTGGATGACAATATCGTCGAGGGAACGCTTCTGGTTCGCCTTGCGAAGGAGGGCCTCCTCGACGGTGTGCTGGGAGATGAAACGATAGATGTGAACGTCACGGATCTGGCCGATACGGTGCGCTCTGCAATCATGGAGAAGATCCACTAGTGAGCGGATAAGTTAATTTTCACGTGATGATGCAAACACCAACCTATCCTCGCATTGACGGTCCATCTGCGGATTGAAGTCGCTGTCGTAGAAGATGACAGTGTCCGCGCCCGTCAAGCTGTGAGACATAGATTAGCACCTATATACGATGCATGTATACGCAGAAGTACTTGATTCCGACTCCTCCGGACCGCGAAGACGAGATGAAGCAAAATACACGAGAATCCGAGTTGAAGCGCTCCGTGATGTACTGGCGGTCCTCGATTTTCGTAGCGCCATCTAACCGCGAGTAGAGATACCCATGGAAGTTCAGGAAGATCTCGAGGATATCCAGGATGCGCGTCATCTGGGTGAAGATAAGCACGCGGTGACCTCCGGCTTTACGCTCCCGCAAGAGCTTCGCGAGCACTTGTAGCTTGCCACAGTCGTACTGAAGTAAAGAGAGTTCGGGAAAAGCGATCTGGAGTTTGACGCTAGCTCGATGCAAAGGAGCATCGAACTCGGGATCGACGAGTGGTCCGTCCGATAGCGCAGGAGGAACGCTAGATAGGGCGATCAAGGGAAGGTCTCGAGCGACGACGCTCGGAGTCGCGAAGGCGAAATGCTCAATCACAGGGGTCATATCCTCCGCTCGAGAAGCGTAAGACTTGATGGCCGATCGCACCTTCTCCGGGGTCAACAAGTACTTGGCGGGTCGCATGTTGACGCCGGAAGGAGCAAGAGGCTCGTGAAACCGCTGCACCAACGCAAGTGTCTCAGAGCTGTATACGGGGACTCGGAGACAATTACAACGGTGGCGGTTGATGTAGCCGATCTGTGTCCATCGAGCGATGGTCGCCGCCCGTCGCTGATACTCTCTATACTTCTTGAAGCCAGCGATGGTACGGGTGTCTGCGGGAGGAGGTTCACCGGGCACCTCATTGATCATGGGCAAGTACGCAGTGCCATCGAGTCGTAGCGTCTCTTGAGCGGCAACCTCCGATTGGCCCAAGTTGTCGACAAATTTGAAGCCGAGGAAGTCCAGGTTGACCTTGCCTTCGTCGTGTTCGGCTAACAAACGCCGACGCACAAGGAGCTCCTTGACCTCATAATCCGCGACAACAGAGCGCTGCATGGCGAATGAGGTGACGATCGGCCGAGTCTCGAACAAGTCGGGGTGGTTGACGACTTTCCTCAACTGCATCAGGATGTTGGCGATCTTTTGGTATACACCGGACTGCAGATCGTGACGCGTCTCCGCGCGGGACATGAACTCGTCGTATAGGAAACGTTGACGCTTTGACAGAGGGCACATCACGATATGCTCGTACTTCTGCGGCAGCTCCTTCTCGACGTCCCGCTTAAGGCGACGGAGAAGGTAAGGCCGCAGGACTTGGTGAAGCTTTGAAACGCGCTGCTGCGTTTCGTCATCGATAGCACCGAGCTCGATAGCGCGCTCGAGGGGATCTGCAGACCATCCTGAGTACACCATTGACGAGAGAATTGAGAAGCGGCTTACTCGCAAACCATTCGCCGAACTCCCTCAAGTTCGCGAAGTCCGTTCCAGACATCAAGAACTGCAGCAACGCCCACAACTCCGTCAAATTGTTCTGGAGTGGGGTGCCAGTGAGCAGCAGTCTTCGAAAAGAGCGGAACATGAGCAAGATGTTCCACCGCTGCGACTTGAAATTCTTGATCATATGCGCCTCGTCAAGAATCATGTAGTACCACCGCTTCCGTTTGAAGACATGCGAGTCACGCGACGCGAGGGTGTATGACGTGATGCAGACGTTGAAGTGGTACTTGTTGTTCCAACCCTGGCGGAGCTCCTTGCGCTGCTTCGTGTTACCGTGGTAGCTGAGGACTTTGAAGCCGGGCAGGAACTTCTTGAACTCCATCTCCCAGTTCAATAGCACGCTCGTGGGCACGATGATCAGGTGGGGACCCCAGATACCACGATCGCAGGCAAGGTGAGCAAGCAGCGCTATTGTTTGGATGGTCTTGCTATAGAAGACGTCAGCTGAATTGTAAGCTCATGGTAGGTATACTACATACCCAAGACCCATCTCGTCTGCTAGGATTCCATTGAGGTTCCGCGCATGTAAGCTCGCGAGCCATTCCAACCCAGATTGCTGATATGGACGCAACGTCCCTCGGAGTAACAGCGGAGCCTTGACCTTAGCCTGAGGATCCCGTTCGACGGGCGCGACTGCATACGGGCGCAGGTAGTACGGGATAGAGGAGTCCTCTTCAACCTCGTCATCCTGCACGTCGTCGTCGATTGCGGGTGTAGGGTCGCCTGGAAGCTCCACTGGAGTCCCTGCGCCGGACTTGTCATTCCCCCGGAATGTCGCAGGCTGGACCTCTGCAACCGGAGCTTCGGAGACGACCAGCGGTGTCGGGGTAGACGCCAATTCCTCAAGCAAAGGAGTCTTCTTGTACTGTGGCAACCAAGGCACTGACTTGCCGTTTACCTGAGGTAATGTTGCGACTGTCGCCTCAGATTCTACTCTGTCGCTGTGATCGGACGATTGTTTCAGTGAGTGGCGACCATTCTTCTGCTGCTGCTGGGTAGATACTCCGGTGGGGGTACTTTGGAGGGTAGCCTCATCGACCTCCATCGCCATCGCCGTGGACGTCAGAAGCGGTGTTCGAAGGGCGTCGCGCCCAGTTTCATCTCGATCGAAGAGTTCGCCACTGGCCATAGCATCCGCGAATACGCGTTCGGGGGACCCGACGACACGACCATCTCCGAAGAAATCACGAGTGCCATCTGAAGGCGTTGACTCCACCTCCAAACTAAAGCTGCGGGGAGACCTTCCAGCTGGGGATGCGCCTTCGAACTCAAGATCGGGCACAAGCATAGAGATACCCTCGTCATCCGCAGTCGAGTCGGACTCCTCGCTGACATCGTCGCCCCGCCTCGTTCCGGACTGTTCGTCGTCCGAGTCACCCGTTCCCTCATCGTCCGAATCAACTGGTGTCCTGTCACGTCCGTGAGTAGAGACGCTATGAGACCGACTGCGCGAGTCGCGCGCAAGGTCGTGCAGCTGGACTTCGAGTATCTGACCGGACTGGTCAAGGATGGCGTCCAGGTGCTCCTGGCCCCTCCTCCGCTCTTCCTCCTCCCACTCCAGACGCGCTTGTTCCCGTACGTGCTATTGGGGTCCGAAAAACGTGGTCAGCTCTATTGCAGACAGTGATCGGACAAAGATACCTACGTAAACTGCTTTCTTCCACTGCCCAACCACCATCCTCATCGCTGCCCTCGCCAAGCCCTTCACTCTCGCCTCCTCCGCCCTGTTCTCCATCTCCCAGTACTTCCTCACCTTCCCTGCCACGTTCCCCGCCATCTCCCTCCCATCCACAAACCTCGTCCCCGGACGCTCCACCTCCCTCACGATCGCCGCCCACGCGTCCTGCGGCTGGATGTCACGGAACTCGTACGCCGACCGCTCCGGCAGACGGCCCTGCTTCCTCAGGGAATCGATCTTCCGCCACAGGGCGAGCTCGTCGGAAAGGGAGGCAGCGAGCTCCGACGAGGACACTTCGGCGCCGTCGCGATAGGTGAAGGACGAGAGGAGCGCGTCGAGCGAGCCGTTGTACTGCGGCGCAGGGGGCTTTTGGCCTGGATGAGTGTAGGTGGGAGGCGGCCGGCGGACGAGGAGCTTCACACGTGGGATTGGGTGCTTGAAGGGGGAAAGCAGCTGCGTTGTGGCGAGGCCGCCAGGTGTTGCACCGTTGGACGGCCGAGATGGTCGCGTCGACAGGGGCAGCTGAGGTGAAGACGAGTCAGGCATGGTCGCTACGGACCGGAGGTTATGCCGTGAAGGAGGATCGACATGAGTGTCTACGGTACGTCGCCTCTTCCGTGGAGGGGATTGCACTGGCTCACTGGCTCCAGCACGGCTGTCGGTGTGCTGGTCCCCTGCAGATGGAGCATGTCGAGAGGACCTGGTCTTCGACATATCCGCAGGAGGAGGAATATCGACAACACCCTGTTTGCCCTTCCCCTTCCGCAAGTACGTGATCGAAGGCATGTCAGCTGCGGCGACCTCGGCGTGCTGCTTTCCTTTTGACTTCGCCTCAGCTTTGATATCCCAGAACGCGGGTGCCGCAGCGCCCTCGATCTTCTTGGTACGTGCCGACGGTGGCGTGGAAGCGGTGGTCGCGTGCACCTTCAGCCCTTGCACTCGCGCTGTGTGGGCGCGACGCGTCGTGCGCCGCGACGGGCCAGCGGATGCAGTATGGTCAACCAGATCGTATTGCGCTTGAAACTGCATGGTACATCGTGAAGGTACAATAGGAATTATACCGCGATTGGCTTACCCTCTGGAATACGTCGGAGCGGTCCTCCTTTGCGATCTGTATATAGTGCGTCAGGTCAATCCCAATTACACGCTTAGGAGAATCAGGCACAACGATCGCGATGCTGTCTTATTACTGCCGACAAAGGCATCTGCGGGGTCCTGAATCCCATCTGTCTCCACCACTTCAGACAGACTAGGACTAATGACTCGCGCTAGCCCATGAGGGCTATCCCTAATTCAATCAACACTGACTTCCAATGACTACGCATCACAACGGGAACAGACGGATAGCTTGCTTATGCCATTGTTCCTGTAGAGTCAGCTGCGCGTAGATGTGGATAGAGGGAGGGCCCCTTCTCCACCTCAAGTCTGGGTCACCAGGGCGTAGACTCTGCATCTGTCGTGCCTTTGAGTCCCCAGAGAGGCTCTGCAGCTGGTCGACCCGCCTCTGTAACGTTGAGGCGAGTGGCCAGGAGCTGTACCCTGTTCACAGCAGCCAATAGTGCAGATGTAAGGCATGTGTAAGCCGGAGACGACAAAATAAGAGCATTTCGGGACGAAAGTCTGGCATCTGTGAGACCGCGTGATATTCGAGATGTTTGCGATGAGCACGGCCGACAATCATGCCTTCGTTCGCGGTTGCGGGACTCAGACAGGTTGACTCGCACTCCGTCAGCTCTCGCCCAATACTCGTGGACAGAACGTGACTTTCAGCCCCCACCCGCCCCGCACGATTTCGCGACTGCCTGCAAATGGGCACTGCTGAGAAGACCTGCTTTCCTTCACATTCGCGCGTCCAGAGCAGGTTTTCTCGGCCGCAGATCCACCGAGACCGCCCACACCTGACGCAACACAGGGATTGAGGAGATTGGGGGTCGGCAGTATCCCTCTTGCACCGGTTTACTTTGCCAGCGGCCGCGGTTGTACTGGGAGCAGAGCCGTACATTCTGGCGACCAAGGCGATCGCGAGTTCATGCTTCCTCCCTTCGCCTCGGAAGGGTCCGAACAAGCCGCATGGACAGAGGGTCATGCCTGCCCCTCGACCCACGGACCGAGAGACCCAGCTGAAGACTGGTACATGGAGGGGATGTTGCTCACCTTTGGATCATAAGAAAGAAGAGAAACAAACTTCTCCAGGTGGAAGGCCTCGCGTATCTATGCAGCATTTGGACGATCACGTAAGTTCCTAGGGAGGGACGAACGATCGTCATACGCACCAAGGAGTCATGGCGATCGAACACCCTGTCTAACTCCTCCTGCCTGTCTTGAATCCACTTCGCACGGCCTTCTTCCAGACTACCTCCCGAAGACGGCCCAGCACCGGCATCCAATGTGCCACTACAAGGTGGCGCTCTGGTCGAAGTACTCGCTGAGCCGTGACTCGTCCCCCGCCGTGTGCTCATGGTGTCCGAGACGACCGGCTGCGCGTGGACCGCGTAGTTTGGCTGATCTCGGCAGATCCTGGACGGTTTGAGGAGCTTGTTGGACGGGAAGATACAGCAAGAAGCGTATTATCAGCCCCCAGGGTGTAAAGAGGGAGAGCAGGGCAGCAGTGGTGAGAGTGGAGGGTCGAGCATCGCTAGGACGGACGTCTGAGAGTGTGAGCAGCTTGTTTGGTCGAACCAAACAACTCATCGCACACGGGCGTCCAAATTTCCTTTCTCGGAAGAACGAGCTCATGGGCGTTTAAGTGACCCCGGTTGGAATCTCTCGATCGGACACAGAGTGTTTACAATCGCATGCAACTGGCTACATAGCCACGAATGCACGCAGTCGCGCGTTCGCTTTCCCAGTTACAACACAAGCGTGCAGTCGTGTAATCGCAGAGTCGGGTAAGCGACGCTAAGTATCTAGTTCTTAGTGGCCCCTGCAACAAAGCTCTTTCCTGACGCAATGTAGATCGACTATAATCCAGATGTTCTCTAGCATTTATCCAGTTCTTAATGCGCGCAAAACGAATCTACTCAAGGGCTTTGCAGGATGTATAGACTTTGGCCTTGCCCTTCGCCGAACTCCTGCCGGAGGGCGCTCCAGTTACAACTTACAATTGACGCGCAGTTACACGTCTGCGTGGCTGCATACACACAGAGCTTGGCGAGCTTAGCCAACAATCGACTGCGTGAATACGTGGTTACACAGCCTGCTACGTAGCCAGTTGCGTGAAATAGTAAACGTTCTCATCGGACAACTATGATACTCGCAGAACAGAACTTGAATCTAGACAGTATTTTAAGCCCAGTTGCTACTCATATATCAATACCCTCCTGCCAATTCAATATCGACATCTTCTACTGCCATTCAACCGAAGGGTTCCCTCTTCTTGGAGCGCAAATATTCTTCTCATCATCGTTCGGGAACAGGAACTCCAAGGCCGCAGTGGCGTTGAGGAGTCACATGCACTCGTACCCTGACACTTTTGCGTTTTACAAACGTTGTTCGGAGAGTCCTGAGCGCGAACCTTGTAACGGGACTGAATGTGAACGTTACCAGGTACAGTCTCCAAGATCGAGTGGGCGCGCGCAAAGGCAGCAGATAAGAAACGCAATACCATATCCATGTTCCCGCTGTTGTGGATCATCTGTGACTCGACGAGGCGGGGCCAGAAGATAATATCCATATTTGCATCGGAGAAACGCTTGCAGCATTCGCCGGAGAAACAGACGTGCTCCCGCAGCTTTAGGTAAGTCTCACAGAGGTACACTAACGCTCTGCTGATACCAAAACCCAAGTAATCTCTGCTAGGCATCGTGATGATGTGATAGGCAGCGGGGTCGACCGTTGACGCGATACATATCATGCGAGCGGAGACGTGGTACCTCGCATGGATGATGAGCTGGGTCCACGAGCAAATTTTAATGGAGCATCTGAACTGATACAGGCTACCGAAATAAGTAAAAGTTGTTCCCACAACTGTACCACGCAAATACTGAACCACAGAACGGCTCTGGTAAGAGTATGCCTCGACTCAATCGCTCTGAGTTGTCTGTTTGTCCTCCTGCTTCGTACTACCACAAGGCCAGGCAAGGTCTCGCGAGGAATTGTCGAGAAGATCATATCCGTATCATGTCTACGCTCGTCGTCCGCTATCTCGCACAGCTCACCCCCTCCCATGCTCGACATACACCTGCCCCACAAGCACCGCACAGCCCACCGCCATCGCCACAAAGCTGATCGGCAAATTCAGCACCAGAAACTGCCTTCCTCCGACATGAATGCCCTTCTGACCAAGGATCTCGCGCCAGAGCAGGCCTGCGAGCGACGCGGAGAACGTGAGCGTGAACGCGCCAAAGTTCGAGCCCAGCGCGAGCGCATAGATCGCGCCGTCGCGTGCTCTCGCGTCGGTGCCCACGCCGCTGGAGGAGGATGAGAGCCAGAGCTGGAGGATGCGCCCGAGCAAGATTGTTGCGCCGATGTTCGTCCCGCAGAACTGCATGCCAGTACCCATCAGCGAAAAGACAAGAAGGGGAAGAGCGCGCGAGGGAGACACACGTTACACGTTACACACGTCAGGAATCCCATACCACCCACTGCACCCAGAACGCCCGTCTTGGTCACCCACGCGCCCCACCAGCGCGCGAAGAGCTCGACCCAGCCTTTGGTAGTGAGGCCTTGAACGAGGATGAACATGAGGAATGCGAAGGGCAGGAGCGCGACAGGGAGACGCTCTAGGACATGTGTCACGGTCGGGAAGGCTGTTGCGAATCGGGAGAGAGCGTGTGAGAGGAGGGGTGTGAGCGTAACAGGGGCATGGGGTTTGAGGGATAAGGAGGAAGGGGTGATGGAAGAAGGAGCAATTGGTGAAGGCGAGACGACCGTGGGCGCGCGTGCGGAGAGGTCTTGCAGTTCGTGGTGTTCACGCCCTGCGTTGTCCACATCGACACTTCCCAGGGTGTCTGCCGGCATCTCATTCATGTTGTCGGACACGTCCTCCCCGACGCTACTCGTGCGTCGCGATTCATCTACTGCCTTCGGCGTTGCTCTGGTAAGATGAGTCGTCCAGTCGAACCAAATGTCCCTTACAAGCATGATGACCGCGGGCGGGACCGTCACCTCCCACACCGGCACGCCTACAGTACTGACCCCTACCAGTACCGCAAGCGTAACGACCAACAGCACACTCCCGAACACCGCCCCACGCGCATCAACGAGCGTCGCGCGCACCTCTGCCTGGCTGATTCCGATGTAGATGCGTTTTGGTATCAGGTCTCTTTCCGTTTCCCTTTGTGGATGCCCCCCAGATAGGCCGGGCAGAGGAAGGGCACGAAAGAGGACAAGGAGCAGGGGAAAGACGCACAGGGCGGCCGCGAGGAAGGGGAGAACAACGTGTGCGGCGTACGAGAGAAAGGAGATGGCAAAGGCCCCGGAGAGGACGAGGTTCGTTGGGTTGGAGGAGACGAGGACAACAGATGCTGCATAATGATCGGGGAAATAAAGTCAAGAGGTGTGAGCAAATCAAGGAGTAATATGAGACTAACCCATATTGGCGACAGCGAACTGGGAGAAGATCCATGCTGACGGAGGGGTAATCCTTAACTCGTAAACACGATTGAGAGTTACTATCGCCACCAACTAGCGAGGGGTCCTGTACTCACCCAGTGACTCCAGTGAAGTACGCCAGGAATGCCGTACCAGACAGTATGACGGGGTCCTAGGTCAGAGAGTTGTCAGCGTAGAAGGCGCACACATGTCAACAAGAGTTCGCCTACATTTCCAACTATGACGCCACACAGCAGGAAGAACACGTACAGGTACATATACAATCTATGGCCGGAGGACCCACCCTTGCTGGCGACCCAGAATGCTAGGAACCTAAGCAAGCCGGTCGCATCTAACGAGATGGAGATGTAGGCCTGTCACAATTGATCAACACATCCATTTAGCGCATATCACAGCGAGAAGTCATTCAGTACTTTGGATGCAGCTGTACTGGTGCTCCACCACCCGGTGGATGCGTCCAAAGTACGGTACACGGCGGGATCCTCAGTCGTGGTATCCAAATGAAGTGTGGAGCACCAGTACACGGATCCATCCTCAGTATGGATGCGTCCAGAATCTAGCACGATCCCGAGCTCTCGCCAAAGATTGGAGAGGGATGCAGGGTCGCGCGCGAGGCCGGGTACCGGTACCTCTGGATCGACTCGTGCTGCATCAACAAGATGAGCAGCTCCGAGTTGACGGAGTCGATCAACTCGATGTACCTGTGGTAAGGCCGTGCGAAATTATGAAGGCGCAATGAGCCTCTGAAGAGCCCACCCGCGCTTGTGCCATTGGCTCTCCCGAAACGCGGATTTATCATTACGGGTGTCTTCGCTAGATGGAACGTCTGCCATGTAGACGTAACACAATCACGCACGGCCGCACCACAGGAACATTGAGTCGACGGACTCAGTCAACGCGGACCCGCTCGTCTTGTCAAGGCAGCACAAGTCGATCCAGGGGTACCGACACCCGGCCTCACGCGCGACCCTATTCACTGAAGCTGCTGGCAGCGAAGACTCACCAAGGAAACGAAGAGCGCCATTATGTTTAATGGGCGTATGCCGCCGGTACCAACAACGCCATCTCGTATTGTCTGGCGGTCAAAGACACCACTACCGAGAAGTGCCAGGACCGAGATGAGCGGGACAGAGATGTAATTGAGGTGAAAGTACCGTCTCTTCGACGAGGTGAGGTGTTCTGGCGCGACTCGGAAAATGGTGAGGACATGACGGGCAGTTTTCAGCACGGCCGGAGGTATTGGCACACGGAGAGGAAAGACGACGGCTATATCTGTGAGTTGAGACCTGAATGAGCAAACGAATACGCGAGGGAGCGAAAATCGACTGACTAGAGAGAAAGAAAAGGACCAATGTCACTATGGCCTGCCAGCTACCGACAGACGTGGATTCGGTGGCTCTATCCCTGACGCCGATCTGACCGTGCAAGAGCATAATCATTCTCAATCAAAGTCAGATGTCAGGACGTTCAAACAGAGACGCAGGTCAAGCGCGGCGAGGCTTGACAAATCACAGATTTCAGGCGATGGGCGAAGGCGAGAGCAGCACGGCCTAACGTCTCATGGGTGCATGGTGGGCATCTCGGAGCTCAAGCTATGACGGAGGTGGCACAAAACGCGTATATCGCTAACTTTCTCCTATATGAACAAACCCTGTACGACGTGCAAATTATGTCATATGGTCGGTCTGGAAACCGAGCGATGCGCGCTTGCTCCAAGCTCAGCAAATTCGTGACTGGACATCTTGGTCAGTACCCTCGCCGCTGTTCCTTATCCGGTAGGCTTGCTGCAGGGACATTCCGTCGTTCAGGGCATCCCATTGCTGGCACCACTACTGGCACCAACCACTGGCGTCATGTCAGTTCCAGCTAGCGCTAGACTATAGACTGCCCACGTCGACAGCCCCAGCATTACGTACGGTACCACTAGCCTATGGCTGAGCGGCGAGCGGCCGCTCTAGAACCTAGCAACACTCCTCATATCCCAGCTTAGATGCACCTTGTGTCGAATCTCAAGGGGAAGCTCAGGCCCGGCAGTCACGCATGCGGCATCGGCGCGCAGACACAGCGGCCTATCAGCGAGCGCTGTACTCCTAGGGGCAGCCAACATCCTGCTCTCAAAGCTTCCATGCGTACCTTCTGGTGATCCCGCCCGCCACACGTCCACGCGCGTGTCGTCTGGCAAGGTTCCCTGATTGCTCGGGTTCCTTCCCTTCCGAGTTATGGTCGAGGCGAGCGAAGACGGCTATGGAGTGCAGCGCAGCCCCTAGTACGAGTCCATGAACGACGCCGCCGACGCCTCAGTCCCAAATCGCAACAAACATGGACTATGTGGACCCACTGTGCGCAATGCCCGACCACGGTGTGTGAATCGCACCCCCTGTCCGCCTCGCTCTCCGGCGGTGATGGGCCTCCGCGGCCCTCTGACCTCGATGCCAAACATAATCCTGGACGAGAACGCCCGAGCTCAAGGCAGTTGGGCATTCCATTCGAACGTTTTGCAGGATCGCAGTAGAACTGCTCGTCACAGTGAGCGACGGCTTGTTTGCTGTGCCCAACTGGCAGTCAGTCTTTTCAGGTGGTCTGTGCAATTACATTTGTCAGCACTCCCGTTTCAGCCCCAGTCCTCACATGCACACCCCGCTTCGAACACCGATGGTCGTCGTGCAATAGCGCTCTCGATAAGGTACTCACTGCACCATTGTTCACAGATTCGACAAATCCAACATGGTTTTGAACCAGTCGCCAAGGGATTCCAGCGATATCGGCGCCTGGGATGGCTGGTTACTCCGCCGAAGTGCGATCGTGACCCTCGCGAAGCGTACTCCATGCCGTTGGATGTCGTATGTAACGCATGGCGACCTCGGCGTCGGTACGTCCTCGCGACTGATTTGAGTGAGGATACATAACGCATTCCTTGTCTGTCGCTTACGTCTAGGATAACCTCTTCCCGAGTCTTGTCAATCGCTTCCAGCTTGCCACACATCGGCCGCCTATGGTGTCTTCAACTAGGCTATGCGGAGAGCACGACAGATCGCTGACCGCGTTGTTCTTTTGTGCGCGCGTCCTTGTCTTCACACGTTGCGTCAACGTATTAGAAGGTCGCAAACGAGCTCGATGTCACTTAAGCAGCCTTAGCCAAACGGAAGCGAGGATCTCCGCCGGGTTTGACAGGAGCAACGCGGAAAGTGTCCATTCGAATCCCGTTTGACCTGGATGCGCATCTGGAGGCACGTCGTCGCCATGACACGAGGCTCGTCGGTGCTTATTATGTATGATCTATTGCAATTGTCTCTATCGCGTGGCGTCGTCAGTTCAATTTCGCGAGCGTCACGGACGTACCTGGTTGAATCATCTCCGCGTTCCCCATGGTGTAACTGCGCGACTGTCGAAGGGGACATGTACTGTTACAGTCATTGCTGCTCGTTGATGATGATTGCTATGCGTGAAACGTGGGTAGTGGACGCTTCCATGCTCATTCTCCGCTGCGTCCTTTATTGCCCTCGCCGGAAAAAGCTCCGTGTCATGCAGACCGGGACGAACGGCGAACGAGGGCCGAGGACGGTCGCACGTGGTGCCACACTGTCAGGCACATTGCAGGGTGGCGACGGCCCCCACGCTAATTGTCCGGCGCGACGTCGGAATTGCCTTCTGCCCCCTTTTGCCTCGAGGACCGTCCTATCACAGCGCAATCCCAGCTTGTCCCACACGGATCGCACCGGCTTCAAGCCTCGTTGGGGGGTGGTCTAGTATTTACACGGCCACTGACGCTGACCTGTACGTACCATGTACAGGAATTCCGTGCGCCCACCTGGGATCTGGAGCCATCAGCCAAACACAAAAAGGACATGGAATGCTAACCCTATCTCGTGCTTGACAGTCCTGCGTCTGTTTCCCTCCGTTCCCGGACTGGGACGTCCTCCTAACCTTGACTCGCTGACTGTTCTGGGACCGTTGATAAACCTACCCACCGTCGGCCGGACAAGCCCCTGCTCCTCCACGCCTCGTGTCTGCCTATCGTGTCTGCATCTCCACTGACGGACGTGCTGACATTTCCTTCCTGTCCTCTACACTGCAGTTCTGACCTTCAGATCGACTCTCGGATCGTTGCTCAACACCACCCTTCCATTTTGAACACATCCCAACGCCAGAAGCCCCGCGGGCCTCGCGGCGAATCTAATCCTGTCTCCATAATCAAGTGGCACCGCCGTCCTGTAGTATAATTTATCTGTAGGAAGTCCATTCGACGGTCGTATCGCTTTCCCGCACACAGCGCCATCTCTACGTCTATTCCCGTGTCCATATCACCGGTCGGCCAGGCAATCGCATTGGCCAACGTCATCGAACCTAGTGTGGTACGTTCGTATATCTATAGAGCCGCCGGCCTGACCACGGCACAACTCTGATTCTGCCCAGGCCCGCTGCTCTTCCTGTAGACGCCCCTGTCCATCTGTCTCGACTGTCTATCACGGCCGGCATTCCGTCTGTGTTCTCCCACCCACGCCAATTTATATATCTGCACCACGACGTGAACGACCGAGGTTCGTTTTCCGCGCGACCATCCGATACCATCACTAGCTGCTGCAGCGATGGCGAGTCTACAAGCCCTGAAACCAGTCGAGGTGAGTCTCTCGTCCGCGATCAAGTTCTGGGCCTTGCGCCGACGAAACATTTGCTTTCTTGCGTTTCGCGGTTCGCGATAATCTCTGTCCGTACGCCATGCAGCTCGCACCCGAATGGCTCACCGAAAGCCCGATTACATTCGATGACCTCCGCTGCACGTCCTACCCCGCGACGCTTTGGCGCGTCTCCGTCTCTGTGCCTCCCAGCCCTGCTACAACGCGCAAGAGCTACCGCAGGGAAAGCGTCGCCTCTTCCTCCTTATCTTCCGCGTCCGACTTGCACGACGCTGCGGTAGTCCAAGTCGAGAAGCGGAAACGGGCATCAGCCCTCGCACGGCGCTCGGCGCGGATCTCGAAACACGCAGCGCCCGTGCCTGGACCCGATGCACCGCACACCGGGGTCGGAGCCGAGACGAGCAGCTTCCTGTTTTACGACGACGAGGCCGCGGAGGACGTGCTAGACGGACTACAAGTCGGACGATGGAAGCAGCACAACAACGATGACGACGCGACGCTCAACGAGCCCGAGCCGGAGCACGCTCCCCGCCCTGAGGAGGAGGATGACCCCTCGCCCATCGACCCGTTCTTCAAGGCCATGTCCCCCACCCCCACGCCTGCCATCTCTCCCGCGCCTTCGCCTGTCCCCTTGCCCCCTTGTAACCCACATGAAAACTCAGAGTCCCCCGCGCCGTCATCCAGCTACGCGCACTCGCGCGGATCGTCATTCGACTGGACCTCGCCCTGGTTCATGCACGTCTCGGCACACGCGCTGGCGGCGCTCGACGATCAACTGCTGCAGTCGCCCACGGATGCGTTTGCGGACATGTGCTACGCGTCCGCCGTCGCGCTGCCCAACCCGACTGACCCGCAGCACGGCGCGAGCGGTGCGTATTCGTGGAGGAGGTTCTCCAGGCTTAGGCCATTAAGCCCCGGCAGCTTTTCTGACATACACGAGGAAGATGAGGGAGAGGCCGAAGATAGAGAGACTGAAGGAGCGGATGGGGAGAGCACGGAGAGCGAGACGGACGACGAGGACGAGGAGCAGCTGGCGTCGCCCGAGGAGCACGCAGTGCGGCAGAGTTGGTCGACGACGCGCCCGCGCGTATACAGCCCGACCCCGCGGCAGCGCGACTCGCACCATCCGGCGCATCACCACCACGAAAGCGATGGGTCGATACAGTTCAGGTCGCAGGTAAGCTTCCGTTCTCCTTCGTGGCCTCGTGCAATCTCCGTGCGCTGTCCTCCTGCCTTCTGTGTCTGGAGCTCTGACTGTGCAACCCTTCGTGTGGTTCGCATCGCACTTCCGTTCTTCGTTCCCGCTGCGTCAGTCCATCGCCTGTGCGCGCGCCAGGGCGGACGTTTCGTGGGCCGCAATCTGTCAACGCCGCATTTCGCTGTTGTGGCTGGGGCTGATTCCCGCTTCTGTCCCGCAATCCAATCGCCCTGAAGATGTCGCTCTCCTATTCTGCCAAGGGGAGGGCGTGCATCTCCGGCCAATGGTGGACACTAGTTGTGCTGCAATCTGTCAACGTCGCATCTTGCCATGACCATTCCGTCCAGAGTTAGAGTTTGGGTTTGGGTTTCATCAAGAGGTCCAGGCGAGCGTACGGCATCACGGAGGGGCGTTCTTCTTTTGCCGCGCTTTGCCCGCACTACGCAGGTCATCGGTCGTGCCGCGCAAGGTGTTAGTCTTTGAGGCACTGTATGAGCGCCGACTATCCTCTCTTCCGCCTGCGGTATTCGGTTTGCGGTGCGGTGGTACCACGGACAGAGCTGCGGCATCCGGTGCGCTACGCTCCGTGCGTTTCTGAGCGTCGCAATTCCGCGGTCGCGCATTCTGGCTTCGCCTCTCGCCTCTCTTCCTCCTCAGCTTCCATCTTTGATTCGTGAAACGTGACGTGCCTCTGACGAACGCAAGTACCCTTCACTGACGTTCATCTTCTCGTCCGCACAGGTTGCATCGCCCACAGCCTTCACAACTCTGTCCTCGAAGCCCCTCCCCCTCCTCCCTCCCTCCCCCCCCTCGCCCCCTCCCCCAACGCGCCTCTCGCACGACGCTGCGGACCTCGCCGAGCTCCGCGGCGCCGCCGCCTCCCCTCCGCCACTCTTCCTTCCCTCCCCGGCCGTGTCGCAGGCCCAGCTCGCGTTCCTTTTCGGGGCCCCACCCAACCCGAGCGAGAGCGTGCACTTCTTTCCTGCGCCTGCCCCCAGCGCCGCCAACGGGGGCAATGGGCACGGGAAAGGGAGGCCGAGGCGCGGGACGTTGAAGATTTCGACGAATACCGCGCAATCCGCGGGCTCGGGATCGGGCAGCGCGAGCGGGGGCTCGACGCCTGCGAGTGGGGGTGGGGCGGGGACGTGGTTCCAGCGCGGGCTGAGGGCGATCCGGGCTTGAGTCTGCCACGGCTCGGTTCGTTCGCGCCTTGTTCTCCGGATGTCTATCTCCCTGTCCTCTTGCGGAGACTCGGCCAAAAATGCATCTTACTCTGCTCAGTTAATTCTCCGCGCCGGCTTGTATCGTTATTCGCTTTCCGCGTTGTGTTCTCCCCTCCCCGTTATTTCGCACTACACGCACCACATCCTCCGCATAGACCGCTGCTCTCGTGCTTGCCTCTTTACCTGCTTTCGACCTTCTCGCGGGAGCAGCCCGTTTGTATCTATACCGTTGCCATCTTGCGTCCGGTCGAGGAGCGCGTTCTTCTACCTTACCTTCGATTAGCTTGGCTGTCTACCCGGACTATCCGCGTTCCTCCCGATATATTCTTGCCGTCCAATCGTCCCGGATCCATGCTTCGTTTTCCATGCTTATCTCGTCTCGCCTCGATAGCCCCTCTCTACGACTCCTGAGCACGCACGTGTACTACCACCACATCGCTACACTCCCACATCCTCATGGCCCTGTTGTCTTTTTCAGAACCGCACCTCTCTCGACGCTCGCTCGCACACGTTTGTTGTACTACCACCCTACTGTCCTTCCCGCTTACCCTCTCTTCCTCCCTCTCTCGCTACTGGTACACGTACTCCCAGTGCCCGATATTCACGTATGTATTACGTGCTCCGTTGACAATGAACGCTAGAAGTCGACCCGTTAGTGTGCGGAGTAACTTGTTGAGGACCATTGACATGGGAACGGCGTTCCTGAGCCCAACGCCCAACCGCAGGCTGCTTGAAATGACCGCACTAGAAAAAGTGCAATGCAAACGGCTCTGAACCTAAACAAGTCCCGAATCGTTCCCTCCATTCCCTCCGAGCGGCTCAGACAATTGTGCTGAGGGCCGAGAGTTGTATGTAGTCGTCTTCGATTCCAACTTTGGTTAGGCCACCCAGCTTTAGAAACTGTTGAAGGGAACCAAGCCAATCGAAGGCAATCAGGACATAGGACTGCGTTCTATGTAACTCCTGCAATCATCGTCCTTGGCGCTTCTTTTGCTTGAATGCTCTCGGTGGCGACCAGAACTCCGCAACATGCTCGTAGCCTGAGTTTCGTCCGGGCCATACAAACGGGGCAATACGAAGCATTGTCGAGACATGGGGCAGGACATGATGACATGTATCCACGCCAGCAAGCCGACAGCACCTTAACATGTCTATACTACCTCATCCATAGACTACTTACGTTGAGGGGGTACTCATGGGCACGACGGGCACGGCGTTACCTGATCGAGAATTTGCACCTCATGGACAGACTTACCGGCGATGGGGCCATCATAAGCTCAAGAGGGCTGCTCAACCCTTGTGGACGATGGACGCGTTGAGAGACCATTGATGGCAACTGGGCTAGCCGAACCTTCCGCAAATGGCAAGACACCGACCTTACTCCTCGTACCCATTGTGTTCCAAGGGGTCTGCCGCGTCCCGAGCCCCACAGGTAAACACAAATCGTGAGTATGTTCAAGACGAGAGCTTTCTGCGTCGATCAACACTACCTTTGAGGCATTTGGTGAGGGGGAAGGAGCGTCAGCCTCGCGCGAGGGTTTTCGAAGGCGAGCATGTCGACTAGTCTCGCTCAGTGTCCAGTGTCCGAAAGAGTTGAGCGGCCATAACCACGTATCGCCTTGAACACGTTCGGAGATGTTTACGGAAAGGAGACACTGTCACAACATCACGCATATATGCGGCCTCGCGTCGTCAAGGGCATCCGACACACTCGCCTGGCGGGACCTACCATTACAGCTAAATGCATTCATGTCGTGAGTGCGTACTCACCTGAGTATGGTCGGTAATAGGCTGCGACTGCTAGGCCGAGCATTCTTCCTGGGGACAGGGGAAGATGGGAGTTGGGGTCAAGGAACGTTATTGCGAATGGAACACGAGAAGTGCGTTATGAAAATATATGTATGTCGGCTTGACAGCGTTGCGTCATAGATGCCCAATGAGGACGTCGCTTGTCACGGCGTCGGGGGCCAGATCGAGGGAGCGCGTCGGTCTGCCAAACGAGGCCTGTAGGAACCGGCGGCGAGGATGACCAGGGCGCGCTCAGGCGCACCTCTCTGTTGATGTGCCTTCTTCCGCATTCCTTTAGTGCGATGCACCTCGACTTGTGCCTTCATCTCGTTTTCCATACTAGCTTGTTATTTCGTTGGCTCCTTGGAGAGACTTCAAATACGACGATGGAGAACGACGTGGCTGGCTTGCGTTGGGGCATGGCACGACGACGACAGACGCCTCCTGGCGACGACTTTGCACGTACTTACTGCTGGCAGGGGAGGCTTTCTCAGTCTGGTGGGACGCTTGCGTTCCGGGCTGCGATCTGTTCTGTCTGCAAGACAAGGAGATCATCTCATCAGTCTCTCAAAATGGCTACAACGTCGGGAAGACACTGCATTGTCGGCCCCGCCCCATCCAGCCATCCTCGAGCCACGGAGCATCGACGCTATCTTCATTGCACACAGCTCTACCAATATCAATATACATATAGCAACATCGCCGAACCCTTTGAATGCCACATAACGCCAAGGCTTGAGATAACGAGTACTCAGCTTTTTTGCCAGGCACCGCTATGCTGTGTGGCGATCCCTTATGTCGTGGATAGTGATGGTAGCCGGTGAGCGTCCCATCGACCCTGACCAAGTATTTGCGCATGCCCTGACCGTGACTATGCAGTGCGAATTGAAACCTGCTTGGTCGCTGTGCCCTGCAAGTGCCGAAACCTTCGTGCGGGTTTGCTATTCCCTCGAGACGGCGTACGCGTTGATGATCTGCTGTCGCAACGGTTATCGAAACGGCGACGATCCATCATCCACGCATCTACATAAATGTCTGTCTTCCTGGGCACAGCACAAGAGTACATCAAAAGAAAAGCCCCAGCCACCGCTTCAGGTGCACTACATTCATCTCATCAGCCTATTGCCCTTTCGCCATCAGTCTGTGAGTACCGATAGTTTTGCTAACGATACGGTCCCGAAGACATTCGCCTCCGAGTCTCTCAGTAGGCCTACGACACAAGTCTGGTTACATATCATCATGTCCGCCGCCGACGTTTCCGCCTTGTACGTGATCCGTTACATGTCGCTCGTGGATCCACCCAATACCTTCCTTGCTTGGGCATAGGATCACAGGCGTTACTGTAGGGAATGCCCTGACCGGTGCGTAGTCTTTCGATTCATAGATTTAAATCGTCCTCAAGATCCGCGTAGCCCTTCTCGTCTACGACTGGCTTCTCTGCTTCGACGCAGAGGTCTCTCTGGTGTGGGCTGGGCACCACAAACGCACCTGGGCGTCCCTCGTGTACGCTTTCAGTCGCTATCTCCCACTAGTTCAGTATATCCTCCAGATCGCAACCATCTTCCCCATGTCCACATCGGTGAGCCCTGCTGCATATATGTGTCGTGAGCAGACTGTGACTTGCTGTTTTAGAGGTAGAACATCATACCGAAGTTTACTTTCCTGTATTCCACTCATCCAGACGCACTCGTGCAGCTGCGACTCCCTGCCTCGCGTGCTGAACGCCATCAACCTTCTCAGCGTGCTCACCCCTTGCCGTAAGCTGCCGCGGTCGCTACACACTCTGTCGAGCTCAATTCCTTACGTGTTATTCCTAGTGTTCTCGACCATGCGAGTATACGCACTGTCTGGAATGAATGTAGTCCTCTCCCTGGTCACGTTCACTCTCTCGTTCATTCCTATAGTCTTGGATCTTGTACGCTTCCCCAAAGCTTTCTGGCATCGCTGATATGACCATTACTCACGTAGTGAGCAGATCGAGAATGTCAAGTGGTTTCGAATACAGAACCTGCCTCAACCGTTTAATTGCAGCCCCGGAGACGTCACTCCTCAAGGGCTCCTGCTTATGTACGTATCCCCGTTGATTCGACGAGAGAGGTATCTGAAAGAGTACATCAAGGTGTAAGCTGTTAGATCGACTGTTGCGCCGTTCGCGCGCGTACAAAGCTTTCTCTAACGCTTCCCTCTAGTTGTGATTCTAGACCGAGGGAGCGTCATCGTCGCGGACTCGATCGTCCTCGGTACGACGTGGTGGTACACGTATCAGTCGTATAGAGCCCAGCGCGGCATCCATATCCGCTCTTCCCTGACTTCTGCTATGCTTTACAATGGTACGAGCTCGATTGTTCGCTACTCAACCTGCAGCCAGAGGATGAGCTGACTTTGTTCATCTCCAGGAAGCATCTATTTCCTGTAGGCCACCACGTCGTCTATCGCGGATCATGTCTCCTCAGGCTGACCCTGCTCTCGCTCAGAGTCCTGGCATCGCTCAACGCGCTAGACCTGGCCCTCGTGACCCTCGGAGTAAGCCTTTCCTAGCCTCACGCCCTGCCTTCGCCCCTGACTCGCCCGGTCTCAGCTCGCGCAGAACAGCTTCCTCTTCCGAAACGTGAGCTACGTGGGCCTGTTCGCGGATGTGTGCGTCCCCTTCGCTCTGTCATACCCACTCTCCTGGCTCATGCGGATGTTTGACTCCATGCTTGCTTGACGTGCGGCGCCAGGCTGACTGCAATCCTCATCTCCCGCTTCATTCTCAACCTCCGTCAAGTGAACTACGATGCCGCGCACCCATCGGACGCTTCTGTGTCCCTCGGCGTGCTCTTCACACAATCACGGCCAGGCCCCTCGCTCCCGCGGTCTCTCCTCTCTTTCGCGGAGCCGGTGCATGTCGGTCACAGAGGCCCGGACATGGCGTCCGACCTCCATCCGCCATCTGTTCTTGGAGGAGACGGGGATGCGGTACCTGACTCGGAGCGGCAAATAGATGACGAGGAGACCATTGCAAGCACTGCTGTTTGGTAGGTTGTGGGGGGAACTTCCGAAGGATCCAGACGGATTACCTGTGATCATCGATATTTGAGTGGCGCTTGGCGGCCAGGACCCAATGCAATCCGAACATGACGACGATTTAATCGCGCGCACTGACAAGGAAGCCGACAGCTTTTCGGGCCCACACGTTTTGGCGCATAGATGAAGCACACGGGTGTGACATAGTACAGATCCTGTTAAACAACAACAATACCGACAGGGTACGAATACCCCAACTAGTCCTACAATCGATCACTCGCTGTGTATCCGATCCTCACTGCTCCCCTGCAGCGTCTCCATGACCTTGCGCACCCGCTCATAGACGGCAAACACGATCGCCTGCCCAGGCGCGACGCGGAGCACGCGTGGGGTGATGCCCTTGTAGAACGACCGCATGCCCTCCTGGCGCCACATATCGCCCGCGATCGCCGCGATCCGCTGAAAGGCCGACTGGCCAGGCACCGCTTCGGACTTTTGCAGTCCTGTTGAGGACGACGCGGGTTGACGTCGATGGGTACACGCGAGAGGCCGGTCGTAAGCGAGGATCGTCGGTGTCACGGAAAAGCGCGGCAGGTTGAGCGAAGCGACGCGCAGTCGATCCGGCAAGATGAGAAAGAACAGAGAGCGGAAGGCCCACAGCCGTCAGTCGCCAGATTCCAAGCAATGCGGTGAACGAGAAGCACGCACGGGTCTTAATAGTATCGATCGGCGCGTTCGAGAACGGGCCCATCGCGCCCGAGATGAGGCCAATCACCATGTGCTGGTATGACGGCAGGTCCGTGAGCTCCGGCTGCAGGTTGTGCGCGAACTTCTTCAGCTCTTGGTACGCGGTAAAGTTGGCACCTGCGCGCAAGGATAGAACGGACGTCGGTCAGCCAACGAACCCAACCGACTATCCGAACCACGTTCGCATCCGATAGGCTGCACCTCGTTGCGGCGCACTCCCACGATGTGTCAGCAGCCGCGCACATGGCCCGTCGACGAAGCGACCAAGAGGCGGCGAGAATGACGCCACGACGGGTGAAAGATGGCACAACGGCGTATACGCCAAACATGTCGGAAGCACGCGCACAGCTGCGATCGGGGACAGAAGTGGCAAGCACTGGCTAGCTAGTCTGCTAGCTGTGTTGCTCCTGACTCACCTTGATTGGTCGCCTGCCTCAGCGCCGTGAGCGTCACGCCCCTGTAGAGTGCGCTGAACCCTTCCTCGCGCACGATCGCGTACACGGCGTGCCCTGCGTTGCGGTACCGCGGCGCCTCGAGAGGGTCCGCGAGCGAGTGCTGCTGCGCCTGCAACCGGATCTTCACCACCTCCATAGGAGTCACCACCAGCACAGCTTCCGTCACTCCAGCTCCAAGGCCGGCTAGAATTGCAAATAGTTGTCGGAGAGAAGGACGTCGCAAGGTCAGGTGTTTGCAAACGGGGGATTGGCGTTGACGGGCGTGTACGTGATCACGGCATTCGGGGGCAGCATGGGTCGGACGTGAAGGTGGCGGCGGCCAAAGAGACAAGAGGTAGAGAATTAAGCATAAGCGTGTCCGTCCGCGTACGCGCCCACACGTTCCGGAGACCAAGGCGTCCGGGGTAAGAGCGGCCGACAGTGGGGGCAACGCGTTCGATTGACAGTAACATCCACGTGAGCGCGACGGGCGTACAGCACAGCCATGGTAAGAGAAGGTTTCGTCAGCGTCTCCCATCTTGGCGATTCATCCAACTGTCACTTACCGAGGAAGATGTTGCCTACACTCGTCTTGCCTGTCTCCCGATCCGCGAGCCACGCCTTGTACTTCTCAAAGCTCGCGAACCGTATAGCCATCTTGGGCACAATGCCCGACAGGACTGCGCCCAAGCCCTTGTACAGCGCGAGCGGCGTCTCGCGACGGACGATCATAGCCCCCGTAGCGATGAAACCGCGCGGCTTAGTCTGTTCACGGCCACGATCGGAGAAACATGTTAGCAATGCTCACGTGAAGAGAGTGGGTACGCCAAAAAGGTGGGTAAGAAACGGGAGGAAGGGGGATGCGGCGTGGGAGGTAGAGGTTAGAGGAATGCGACAAGCAGGCGCATCAGAACACTCCCTGACATACGCAGGTGTTCCGTAGTGCAGGTGCGCCCCTCACGATCTCGCAATCGAGCGGATGACCTGGTCAGCAGCACTCTGAGCGTCCCCTTTCCGACCAGGGAAGGCGGTACTGAGTAAACGACAGGCGTGACAGGGTCCGGTTGTGGATTTGCGGGGCACCCCATGGATGAATCACTCGTGAGAGCCAGACCTCGTCAAGTGCGCGATGGCGGTAGTATGCAGATGTTCCGTGGCCGTCGCAATTCAGCCTGCGCTCTGTAAGAGATGGATGCACGGTGTGCATAGCCAAGGTATGTGCGCTGTCTATTACGTCTCTAGCTCGCCAAGGGCAAACTCTGAGCATATCCGAGTGGGGGACCCCCTGGCAAGGCGCATTGCGGACTTGCGAGTACATATCCCACTATATCAAGCGTAGTGTGGAGTGTCGGTCGTGGAAGCCGTTCTAGCTCCGCCGCGTGCATTCCGAAGGGTGCGTAAATGCGCAGAGCCGTGGGGCGGCGTCACAGCAGAGCATTCCAGGCACTCGCAAGATTGCGGGACGGAGGGAGCGAAAGACAGGAGGACTGGATAACGGAAAGACTCACACCGGGGGCGCGGCCGGACTTGGAGAGCTGCATGCGGACCTTGATGGTATCCAAAGGTTGACAGCATAGCTATATGCGTGCAACGGCACGGTAAACGGGCATCGTGGTATAGTCAGAATTGTAGCGACGAGAAAAAGGAACCGTGAGGAATGACTTACCGCTTCCATTGCGCCTGCGATGCCCCCAGCAGTCAGCTGGGTGGCGAACCCGACGGGCTTCTTCTCTGCGGCGCGCGACATGCCTTCTGCACTGGCTCAAGCAATGAGTCGGGCGGGGGACGTCCGGATGCTTGACGACGGTGGCGAGCGAACAAAGTGGCTCGAGAGGAATGCTGGGCTACAGCATGTCATTGGCCGGTTGAGGGAGGTGGTCAGCGTCGGATCGTACGTTGAGAATCGCAGAGCGCGTGCATGCATTAACGCACCTGTATGCACAAGGGCAGCTAGGTATGGGCTGTTCACCGGGATGCGATGGTGTCGACACGGGGGTATATGCGGGGTATGTTGTTGGATGGAGGGCTCGCGGGCCATGTTATAAGAAAATGTGGTTGGAGTGATGGGTGCGAGCGTGACAGGAGAGACAGGAGCGAGCGAGAATACCGACTGCCCCAGTCCAGACCCATGTGAAACCCCGCTCTGCCCCGCTAAACCGGTGGCGCTCCCCGCACGGGGCACGCTTATGGTAACTCCCCGATTCCGTCCTTCCGTCTGGTGCCCCGCACTCCTTCCGCCTCTCCTCCGTACCAGTCACAGTGCACTCCAGACATGTGCTCGGCTGGGTCAGACCCGGGTCAGACCCCTCCTTGACCCAGGTCAGACCCCTTGGGGTCAGACCCTGGGTCAAGCCAAGGCGACATCAACGTCGGAGCTTCCAGGCACGTGAACCGCCGGGTCGGCCGGCCGTCCGCCACTCGCTGCTCGCTGCTCGAGCTCGGGCTCGCCTTCAGCGGCCACGAACCCGCCTTCTAATTGCCAAGTTCTTGCCAGTTCCAATTTTTCTTTCCAACTGTCCAATGTCTCGGCCATCCATAAGCGGGGGAGTGAAACCGATGGCCTTCAGGAACGCTGCGAGAGACTTGCCACAATGGAGATGGATGCCGACCCAGAGGAGCGTGTCTGGGAAACACCTCCAAAACCAGCGAGAACTCAGAGAGGTGCAAGGTGTAGCATAGTTAGCATATCCCGTCGTCATCGTGGCATCTGAGTCTTCATCTGCCTTCGCTCGAGGTGGGCAATTTCACCCTGCAACTTGAAGGCGCCCTGCCCGCGCTCCCGGTAGTACGCGGTCGACTATTCTACGCGAGGGCCGACCATGCATCACGTGTTGACCCCTCGAAAAGGTCAGACCCGGGTCAGACCCCAAGTCAGACCCCGGGGTAGTCTCGTGACCAGACGTTCGGAGTGTGAAGCGGATGCGAAAAATCGGGGGCATCCGGACACTCGAACGTCTGGTGGCTTTACCCCCGTGACTCCCCGCTCGGTGACCTGTGTGACATATCGACACCCATTTGGGGCAGTCCGAGAAAGCCGGAGGTCGCCCTCAGTGTGCGATGTGGCGGCCCGCTGTAGACGACCATGCAGTCGCTCGAGCTACTGACCATGAACCCCTTGCGTGGCGCGCACTCGTCCACACGTATTGTAGAGCACCCTGCGAGAGATGCATGATATCATTGCTGACGATGCCTCTTCCCATGATGTCCGCTCCTCTCGAAGTCACAAATTACCCGCTACAACCTGTGATGGAATTGACAGGAGTTCGACCACCGCTGGTGATATTACTCTGGTGCTGGACAGAGTGTGGATCTGAGCGATGATACTCCCATAGAAGAGAAGGAAACCTTGAAGGGGTACAAGCCCAAGGTGACCGGCATCGGTGGACACAGCGATAGGTGCATCACACTCCTGAATTCAGACGCATTATGTTATCGGGTTGCGCACACAAAGAGAAGTCACAGTGTATTGCCTATAACAGAGACAGAGGATTACAGGGGGATTGACTGCTTGCAGATATCATAAGTAGTGCAGAGTAGGCTCAGCGCAGCTCAAAGATGGCGGGAGATAAGCATGCAGGCGCGCACGCAAGGACAGCTCGGACTCCCGGAGAGAGGGCAGGGAGGTCACATAGGTCACCGAGCGGGGAGTCACGGGGGTAAAGCCACCAGACGTTAAGGTGCTCGGGAACCTCCGATTTTTCGTTCCCGCTTGGAGCTCCGAACGTCTGGTCACGAGACTAACCCCGGGGTCAAGCCGAGAGGGTCAAGGGGTCGAGTCTTGACCCGCACACCTCTGGTGCACTCCGTGTCCCCTCCGAACCTCCCCGGAGGGGTGTCCTATTTCTCGCCCACGCATACCACCGGGTTTTGCACACCGTTGAAGCCTACACATGCATAGCAGAGACCCGTAGTCATCTGCTCACGCTTGCTCGTCGTGGGTGTGGATGTCGTCATTGCCCACAGTGTCGGCTATTGGCCCAGCACTTCCGGTGGACCTTGTGATTTGCCCACCATTTTGCCCGATTCGTGTGTCCATACTGACCGGTTCTAACGCGAATGCTGGCAAGTCTTCTCCGCAGAAGCGCTTCTTGTGAATGTGCATCGGCATTATCTTAATATCCGACGCCCGCCGAAGACGTGGACAAATCATTCTACCACAAGGTAGTTTCTTCTGCTTCCTAGAAAAACCTGTTCACTAACTAGCAAGACCTGGAAGTACAATAAATGTACAGATTAACCTCGATAGAGATAAGCAAACAGCAACACCGAGGATTCAAGCAAAGCAATCAATCCCCAACTACATAAATGAACTGCACCATAGCAAAATCGGGTTAATCTAGACGCCGAGACCTCGAAAGCAGCACTAAACACAATCACGGCCTTGAACGCACGACGCGCGACCTTACCCGCCTATTTTTTGTACAGATGTACTGTCATATCCTACCTAACCAGTGTTACGTCAGCTCGCACCTGGTACTAGGCTGCTAGGCTAATCCTCAGGCCTCAAGGGCTCATCTTCAGCAAATCCTTGCCAAGCTTGCCGCCACGTTTGTAAGCAGACCGGTCCTCGGGACACTGCGTGTTGTCCGACCTTCAAGTCTTTCTAGATACCTATACAGGCTTCAGGCTTTTCACAAGAGGCGACCTAAGGGCAAAGCCACTAGCCCGGTTTCTGTACAAGATTTACACGAAAATCAAATGTGCGCCTGATCCCCACCCAACTCTATCCTCACTGCGCACGTGGGCGTGCCTCATTCTCGGTTTCCAACGAGAAGACGTATCTCCTTCTCTCAGAAGCCTCACATGGTGAAATCTCAACACCGAGCCCAGATAGTCGTTGAAACAGTGTGGATGGGCAGTATTTCGCTCTAGCAATTGGGCGTTTAGATGCTACCTCACCATATCTGGGCTCGGCTATCCTCGGGGACGGGAAGCGCTGTCTCGAGGACGAAGCTTGGGGATACGATGCCTTGTTGACTGCCATGCATAACGGTATTCCCTGATCTGGGCTGCAAAGGTAGTGGATGGCTCGGGATGAGCGACAACATCGGACTGTCCCGAGGACCGGTTTATGGCTGTATGTAAGCTGGACGTCCCTCCTGACACACGCTCTAACAAGGTTCCCATCTCGATCACAGGGTTTTCTTCGGAGCCACGGACGCTCATAGGCGTGCGTCGTCGACAAGGCCAAGCCCATGTCTACCTCGCATGGACGTACTTTCGAAGGTTCCTACTCCTACTGAAATGCAGACGGCACAAAGTAGATGGTCGTCTCTCGGAGGTCACGACTCTTGGCCGTGCCCTTGTCCGATCCTCTATCGGACGGTGGCAGATATCAACGTCACCAATGAAGCCACGTCGCTCGTCCATCGCGTTGTGCCACTGCCCAGGAAGAGTTATTGCACATCGCTTCGATGCGGCGAATCCACGCCCGCACGCCCGCCGGCGGCTTGCCCGACTCTCCGCGGTCTTGGACGCTTAGTGTCGGCAGACTGTCACGGTGCGAGTCGTTCACGGCGAGCAACCTGTCGGATTGGCTATGGTCACGGTCGCGACCACCACGAGTCCTGCGTCCGAGCCAGTATCCTGTGCAACAGCCCAAGGATAGAGGTTGAGTATGCCCGCCACGGATAATAATCGGCATTGGCAGTGTCGTACCCGAGCAAGAATTCGCACCCGTGGATGGACACTTGTGTAGATGACGACGCAAGCTGAATGGAACGTCTAGCGAGATCCGGATAGAATGGGGGACCAGTAGACATGGTGCTTCCCTCATGCAAGTTTTTGCCCATACAGCAGAGCGTTGTTCACTCAAGGGAGTATGTCAGGTTCCTGGAACGCCTTCAACAGACACGGCACCGACAGGGACAGAATGTCACCGCCGGGGGCTGCGTAATATCACTGTCAGTCCATTGAAATTTCGAGCCGCGTGTCGGAGAAGTCACTGACGCATCATCAACCGAATAGAGAATGTCTAATGCGCTCCACAGATTCGAGTTGTGTATCCTCTGTGAACACGATGCCTGCCTGGCTACCCTGGACACCCGGCGGTCTCGTACTCGAGTACGGATACAGCCACGGGTGGACCGGTGTCCATTCCTAGTGCACCCGTGAATGCTGTGCTTATCGTTCGACCATCAATATCGGTATCGGCCCTTTGTCGCTCGTCAGGGGGATCTAACGGCTCCAGGCCGCATTAAAGACTTGGTCTATAGCGTGACACCGATCCAGACCAGGCCAAACTGGAACATGCCCTCGGGACGCCGGCCGGGCCTAGATGTGAACGCATATAGTGCTGTATGATTGCCGTAGTATTAGTCGTTCCTGAAGGTCGGTCTTTACTAGGTGAATAGCCTGTGTATTATTATTGACAATGGGCGGGCGTGTACCTTTGCGCTGCAGTGCTTCTCCACTGGATACTCACTCCCAGTCGAGACGTTGGCAGCGCGATAGCGATGTGTTTCGAAGCTGCCGCAGCGAAGCGTTCCATCCTATCGCCGGATCCAGAACGGGACCGGTTTCCTCCATTCTGCCACTCGCACCGTCGTTCTCTGCTCGGATGAATGCATTACAGTAGCGACCGTAGGGTGCGTAGCTCTGGGTCTATTCTGACTTCTTCCACAAAAACTGGACATATAGCGGAAGTCATACCCGCCATCTTAGCTGCATTGTCATACGGATGCATATCTTGCAGACAGGACTGTTGCCACCGAGGCTGCTCGATATGACTGCCGTCCATCTCATGTCCCATTTCTGCTGCACTCATGACATCTCTTGACAATAGAGTCTGCTGTCGTTTTTTCCAAGTCCACTTCCGCTACTGGAATCCTAAACGAGCGGGTAGCTCTGGAATAGATGGGGGTCGCAGGTATAAAAAGCCCGCGTTTTCTGGGCAGGAAGTCACTTTTCAACGAACTACCCATCCTACCCATCCCCGCAACGCAACCACCCGTGTACCCATACAACACATACAGACCAAAGCCAAGATGTACAGCAAGGCGTGCGCTATCGCCCTTACACTTGTTCTCCCTGCGACGGCGAGCCCTGTAGTCGAGGGGCTCGGCATCCGTGTCCCCTTCCAGAAGCGTAGCGCGCTCGCGGACAGCCGGGGCATCTTCGACTATGCCAAAGCCGTTCGTCAGGTTGTGCATGATCACAAGTGAGTGCAACTGATATCTCTCCTCAACCCATGCGATGAACTGAAATCCGTCACAGCAAGCATCGCAGCAACCTGCAAAATGTCGAGAGACATGTCGGTCGAGACGCCTTCAATGAGGGCGCCGATATCAAATCGCTCATGGAGCTTCCCACACACGCTCTCGAGCGTCGCCAATCTGAGGGTCTCAACGACGAAGATCACGACGAGTTCTGGGCCGGCAACATCGCCGTCGGTACCCCCGCGCAGCCGTTCTACATAGATTTCGACAGTGCGTATTCGCGTTCTTTTCAGGAACAAACATAGGTCGACTCATCATGCGCTATCGCAGCCGGGTCCTCCGACCTCTGGTTCCCGTCGACAAAATGCACACAGAGCGCCTGCTCCAACAAGCACAAGTACAACCTGTCCGTGTCCTCCACCGGAAAGCAAACCGACCGCCAGTTCTCCATCCACTACGGTGACGGCTCGGCGGTGTCTGGGCCTGTGTTCACCGACACCGTCGGGTTCGCGGGGTTGACGGTCAAGGACCAGTACTTCTCCGCCGCCACGACGCTCTCGGACTCGTTCGGGAGCCAGGCGAACGACGGCATCCTGGGCCTCGGCTACCCCTTGCTCTCTAACATCCAGAAGCCGCCGTTCGTGAACAGTGCGAAGGCGCAGGGCGTGATCAGGCAGGCCGCGTTCGGGTTCAAATTGGGCAACGTTGGCTCAGAGCTGTACATTGGGGGGACGGACAAAACACAATACACCGGAGACGTCGAGTACCACAATGTTGTGGGCAACACCGGTTACTGGCAGATTGGCGGAGGACAGCTCACGATCGGGTCCAAAGTGAGTGAGATTGGTTCCGGGTGCGTGTAGAGTCGGATCTGACTACTTCAATGCAGATCGTGTCTACAGGCATCAAAACTGTCATCGACTCGGGCACGACCCTGATCTACGGGCCCCCCGACGCGGTCGCGAAGCTTTACGCAAGCATCCCTGGCTCGTCGATGCATGGTGCGAACACTGGCTTCTACTCGTTCCCATGCGACAAGGTCCCTTCAAATGTCGCGTTCAGCTGGGGCGGTAAGCAGTGGACGATTTCTGCCGAGAAGTAAGCCGCCTACTTCACTACAGTGCTTTCCGAAGCCCATGTCTGAGCGCTCGTCATCTCTAGCTTCAACGCTGGCCAGAAATCTCTCCTGGAATTCACCTGCCTCGGGGCCATCGTTGCGAAGGACCTCGGTCTCGGGGACAACGTGTGGTTGGTTGGTGACAGGTAAATGCCGCTTGCTCCGCCCTCACTGCCCGGAGGCAATCGAGACTGAACTCCCTCTCCCCTCGCAGCTTCATGAAGAACGTGTACAGTGCGTTCTCGTTCGAAAACAACGCGGTCGGCTTCGCTACGCTGAAGTAAATGCCGCTCCCCCCAAAAACAACAAAAGCTCATGGGTCCTTGACGGACTGAGTCGAGCGTTGTACTGTGCTGGATCACCCACCAAAAGCCTGAGGATTGCTGTATCATATTCAGGATAATAAAATGATTGTTTGTGACGCAATCTCCGACCAAAAGCAAGGAGCAGGCAGCTACGCACTATTTGGGCCAGAACTACCTGCTCCCGGCTGTGATCTGAACGACATGTGTTCAGTGTGCCGTCTTTAGACAGAGAGGGATCTTGACACACGTATAGTTTTGGGACCTATGCATGCGCGGCTCGCAGAGGGACGTTTCAGGAGAAGCGGATGAGTCTCATGCACCATGAACAAACCTGAGTTCCTGAAGCCGAATACCACAACCCACTTTAACCCTTCAAAGGCAGAGTCTTATTGTAGCGCAGTGGTTATATCACGAGCCTGAGGACAACCGTTCGGATAATTAGAGTAGGAAGTTGGGAAAGGGACGTAGCAATGCGGTATGTGCCAATGACTGAGGCGTAAACCCCAGCCATCCGGTCGAAAGTGCCTAAGACCCTTATGTAGCTGCTTAAGGTTAGTGCGTCGTGCGAAGTTACATGCCTAAAGAGCTAACAGGGGGCTATGTCAGTACCTCTGTCTCTCAGCCAGATGTCTGGGTAGTCAAACGAAGGTAATGACCGAGTTACCTGGCGCTTGGACAACTTACAGCAGAAGTCGGTCAGTCAGGCAGAGACTTGCTTTATGATATAGTCTGAATTTTGGAGTGCAATCGTGCTCTACCCAAGACGACCTGGTGTGTCGAATGCAGGGGCCAAGAAAAGCGTAGCAGAGGTAATTGGGATTGCGTTCCCTTATATACACCTGGCCACGAGCAACCTGAGGACATCTGGTTCTACACATAAGCCTGTGACAGGGCTCCGGGCAATCAGTGAAATTGTATCATGGACCGGAAGTTGTGGGACTCACTCTACAGGATGAGTAATCGTAAAGCAAAACGGTGCTGTCGCAAACGTGAGGCCGATATGTGCAAACCTTGACTCGCAAAAGCAACTTATACAGTGACTCATGACGACGTGTCACCTGCGTGGCCGCCAAACTCGAGCTTATGGCCTTGTTCATTTAGCGCTGTGATCATCGGGTTCTTAGAATACACCATGATCTATAAAGGCGCGTTGGTAGGCAAGTGCAGCCGCCCCCAACAGCATCTTGCGATCCATTGACCCAGCCTCAAATCCTCAACCCCGACCGGGTGGAAAGCATACTACAATGCCTGTCAAGTTCATCCTCTTCGACATCTCGCCCAAGCTGGTGTCTGCCTGGAACGAGAGCTTCCCCAATCTGGTCTCCAAGGACGTCTTAGAGAACATCACCATCAAAGGTGCCTCGCTGGAAGACCTCAACATGCCCTTCGACACCGTCGTCTCCCCCGCTAATTCCTTCGGCCGCCTTGACGGCAGGTAAACCACCGCGCTTCCACGATCCTCCCCACTCAGCCTTCTCACCCCCATCACCCCCTGCAGCTTCGACCAAGTCCTCTCAGACTGGATCGCGCCAGAGGACGACAACGACGCCCTTACGCACGCCGCCCAAGCCGTCCTCTACGCGCGCTGGCGCGGATACGCCCCCGCCGGGACCTGCACCCTCGTCCCGCTCGGCAAGACAAAGTGCGCGAACAACAAGCTTGGGGTACGCCACGTCGCGCTCTGCCCAACCATGCGAATCCCCGAGAGCGTGCGGTGGCACAAGGAGGTCGTGTACAACTGCGTGTGGTCCCTCCTTGTCGAGATCGACAATCACAACGAGGCAATCGCGGAGGACTCAGAGGGCGCGGCGAGAAGGGGATTGAGGGAGATTGAAACCGTCGCGATGACAGGCCTTGCGACGGGAGTGGGCCGGGTGCCGGTGGACATGTGCGCGCGGCAGATGGCGCTGGCATTCGCGCATTATTACGAGGCCAAGGCGAAGCCGGAGAAGTGGGGCGCACTGCAGTGGACTGACATTATAAACCTACCGAGTGACGCGCCGACGACGCGGGGCACCTGATGTAAGGATACCAGGACGTAGGGAGGTTTTGTGCGTCGACCCGATGAAAGGAGTGGAGTGGGCGGAGGCAATGTGCGAATAGATCCTTTATGAGAGCTGTACGGTACATGTAGTGAGGGACTGGGATGTTTTGAGATGACCGCTGAGTCGAAGACGAGTACAGAGATGCACGCACCGCACACATCGCTGGAGACATGGAACACTCTCGATAGCTGATTCACGGACGGTATTGATGGTCATGACGGCCGCTGGCCCGAGCGTCCCTTCAGGGCGGCTTGTGCCGCCTCCGCGAGGGCAATCTCGTTCTGCTCCTCCTGTACGGCGCGGAGGTAAGAAAGTGTATACTGGAGCGCAATAATTCCGCATGTATGTGCTATGTCGTATACGCGAAGGATATGTAGCAATATGGAGAGGAAAGGACAAACATACCGAGCTCGTCTGGGGGGCCGGTGTCTCCGCCTGCTGTTTTGCGAGTGCCTACCGACATGCTGGATAAGTGCCGCAAGTCGGATATTGCGCTCAATCATGTGCTTACCTCTATGACACATAACACAGGATTTCTTGAGTTAGAAAATGTGAATACAAACGTCATTGTCACGCACCTCTGCCTGCAGCCAACGTATTCCGGTGGACGACCCCAATCATGACAGCACCCCACACAGTGATCCCAAACAACGACCAGACAACACCACGATGGAGGATATCGCCAATGGATAAGCGTGTTCTGAAAGCCATTGCTAGCAGGGTTCCAGGAGAGAGAGGTACGGTCGTGGTCGACATCCAAACACAAAAGGCATGCTCAACTCCTGTCCATTTCGCCGCGCGCTTGATGAGCGCCTATAAACGGCTGCTAGAAACCGAGACCGGGAAACCGCTTCATGTATCTCGAGTAAGTACCATCGCCCCGTTTTTGCTCAAACTTTGCAGGAACACACTGAAGTTTATCCCTGGATTGCTGGCGGTGTTTGAGTTAGTGAGCAGGATGTACTGGTATGGGCGCTGGTACGTAGGCCCCTCGAGCGCGCAGCGAGATGAGCAGCCGACAAGAGTTGAGCACGTCTACAGTGACAGAGGGCAGACTCAGATGAAAGCCGCGAAATCATGCGCGAGATCAACAGTATTTTGTGGAACCTTGAGTGTAGCATGAATTACGAGGATCATTCGGGAATAAGCGGAGGTCACGAAGGATTTCACGATGCCTTTGTCTAACAGAGCACATTCAGTAGTCGTCTCGGGTGTATCCCCCATGAATCGATGGATCCTATCGCAGGTCCATGTCAACTTTCCTCTTCTGACTCTATAACATTATTCCGCCGGAATCATCGAGGGTTACCCTCGGTGCACGACGGGAAAAGTGTTATGGTTCAAGGAGGAAATTTGATTCGGAATCGTTGTGCTACGCAAGGTGACCATAGCAAATCCCGCTGCACTATTCTGTACAGCTTTAATTTCTAGGGATTGCTATCGGCACGTTGTGTGGGGCAAAAGTACATGTCGCCGACATTGCGCCAATCTAGTTACCCATCGCGGTGAGTACTTACATAGTCCGAACGCGAGCAGGATACGGGCGTCTCTGAGAATCTTGTAATCTAATCTGATCTTACAGTCAACCGGACGGTGCGGACTTCAGCCAGTCTTGCATCCAACCGGCAAGCCACCACCACCCACTCGTCTACTGCAGTTCTACGAGCAGAACAACATCCCAGATTGAAGCAAGTGATACAGAGCGATACAGTCTCCCCATGAATACTAATCATCGTGTGGCAGCCTACAGGCAAGTTGTTTGCCTGAATCCCTCGTCTACGTTGGCCTCTGGTTGCGAATTTTCTCAAAGCCTTGGAACTGCAGCCTTTCCAGTGGCGCCTCGTTGGTAAACTCGACTCCCGTCACGTTTGCATGCTCAGGTCCCTTTTTCAGGGCTTCTTTGCTACATAGGCAACGAATATATCAGGTTCAAGCCAATCGTTGGTCGGAGAACGCACTCACAATTTGTTCAAGGACTCTTCGAGACCCTGGGCGGTGCCGAGCACATCTCCTCCCTGCTTGACATGGCGCATATAGTGAGCATACTACTAGTTTCTGAAGCGAAGAGGTCGCTCACAGGATCGTTTTTCACCCAACCTACCACTCCTAATTCTTGGGCAGCGTTCTTGGCAAAGACGCGGAAGAACACCCCCTGCACCTTGCCCTTGACACGGAAGTCGACAGTCCGGTATGACATTCCTTCAGGTATATGCATATGATGAGCAGATGGTGAGTGCAACATCCTCCGAAGGCTCGTGATAATCACCTGGCGTGGCGGTGGTCATCGCAGTGACGTCATTCTCACGAGCAAAAGCCTGATTGCTTGACAACTGTGCGTTCTCGCTACACACCTCACGTAACTCACGTTCGTACGGTAAGTTTGCTCAGCTGCCGCCAGAGCGTCAATCTTCCCGCTGTCTCTTCTCCACATAGAAGTGCAGCAGCCTTACTGGCCGCCTTTAATGGCCTCTACATTCCTCAAGGGTCGTGACTATCGTGGCGAGATGGCCGAGCGGTCTAAGGCGCCAGACTAAGGTGCTCACGTAATCTGGTCCGAAAGGGCGTGGGTTCGAATCCCACTCTCGTCATAACTTTTGCCAGGCGTTGGTTCGGGATAGGTGTCGGGGCGGAGTTTTCAAGGATTCTGTCCAGTACAGAATGCAGCCCTTGGTCTGTACTCTTTGAGTTCGTCGGTTTGTAGGAATGTCGGCTCAACATGTCTCCGTTTGGTCTCTTGGGCTAAAGAAGGTACAGCAGCATGTCACAGCGTCGAGTCACGCCAAACGGCACTTGGGCTGAGATCGGCGGGCAGCCACTTTGCAAACAGGCGCAAATAAGCCCCGCAGCCCCGTTATCAAGTCGCTGGTTGAGTCCGACGGCACCATCCTCCCCCCACGACGACCATGACCCGCTTGCTCTACGTCACGCTCTTGGCCGTCTCGTTGGTGTCGGCCACCCCTCTTTCTACTTATCATGACTCGCCACGCCGCGTTTCGGGCATGACCGTGGCCCCCCTTTATGTGGAGGAGCACCCGCATGGGACTGTCAACAACTCGTACATCATCATGCTCAAGGATGGCACCGCGCCCACACTCTTGGCAAATCACATGAACTTTGTCCAGACCGTGCACGCGGCGGACCCAGAGGCAGACGCGTTTGCGGGCCTGACGCATGTTTACGACGGCCACATCCTCGGCTACGCCGGCAAGTTCAGCAAGAACGTCATCGACCACATTCGGATGATGCCCGAGGTCGACTACGTCGAGCACGACCAGGTCGTCCGGACGCTCGAGGTTGAGCGGCACACCGACTTTGAGACCGAGAAGCATGCCACGCAGAAGGGCGCTCCTTGGGTGAGTACGGGTCATACGATATGTCGTGACGTGCACGAACTTCGGCTCGGGGTTGTTCGCCCTGCGGGCACTCGGGCATTGTTGCATCCATTGTCATTCGCGCGACAGCACGTCGTACTTTTGCGTTGATGCGGTCGGCGTAACGCTTTTCCGCAGTCACGACATTCCGGATGTACTTATATGGGCGTCCGCTGACGTGTTGTTTCTGCAGGGTCTTGCTCGCATCAGCCACCGTGCTAAGCTCACGTTCAGCACCTTCACCAAGTACGAGTACGATACCGACGGTGGTGCCGGCGTCGACGTCTACGTCATCGACACCGGTATCAACACCAAGCACGTCGAGTTCGAGGGACGTGCCTCTTGGGGCAAGACCATCCCCCAGAATGACGTCGACGAGGACGGCAACGGTCACGGTACCCATTGCGCGGGTACCATTGCCTCGCGCAAGTACGGTGTTGCGAAGGCGGCCAACGTCATCGCTGTGAAGGTCCTCGGCAGCAATGGCTCCGGCACCATGTCCGACGTCGTCGGGGGTGTCACCTGGGCCGCGAAGGCCGCCGCCGATAAGGCTAAGGCCGCCCTCGAGGAGTTCAGGCGCACCGGCAAGACTTCGCACAAGGGCTCTGTCGCCAACATGTCCTTAGGTGGTGGCAAGTCGCGCGCGCTAGATGATGTCGTGAACCGCGCCGTCGACAATGGAATCCACTTCGCTGTCGCAGCTGGCAACGACAACAAGGACGCGTGCAACAACTCGCCTGCTGCTGCGGAGAAGGCGATCACTGTCGGCGCGTCGACTCTTGGCGACGAGCGTGCGTACTTCTCGAACCACGGCCCCTGCGTCGATGTTTTCGCTCCTGGCTTGAACATCCTCTCGACCTACATCGGCAGCAATTCGTCGATCACGACCATGTCCGGCACGTCGATGGCCTCGCCCCACACCGCTGGCCTGCTCGCGTACCTCCTATCGCTTTACCCGTCGGTGACGTTCAACCCCTCGGTCGCGCCCGACCTTGCGGCTCTCAAGGTCCAGAGCCTCTCGACGCCGTCGCTCGCCAACGCGTACGCGCTTGCGTACCAAGCGATGCCCTCGTGGGTCGCGACGTTCCTGCCCCCGCCCGAGCTCGTCTCACAGGAGCCCGCATTCGCGCCGGTGCCGAACCCCACGCTGTCCCCAGCGCAGCTGAAGAAGGCACTCCTAGCGCTCGCTACTGAGGGCGTCTTCAGCGAGCTTCCTTCGGGCACGCCGAACCTGCTCATCTACAACAACGCTACGATTGCGTGAGCGTGAGCTTGATGAGCGCGGGTTGTCGATACCTCCTGTGGACGGATGGGACATTGGGCTCGTCGTGCTTTGTCATGTCGTTGTGTAATCCATTCCTTGTTGCATAGTCACCCGTTTGCACCACTGCATCATGAGCTGTACGATATAGGATATATAGGGATGAATATATCCTGATACACGATGCATTACCCTGCGTGCCTTCTTCGGAGAATATCTACGACTGCACGCAACAGGCTACGTAGCAGGCTGCCTAACCACGTATTCACGCAGTCGATTGATGGCGAAGCTCGCCAAGCTCTGTGTGTATGCAGCCACGCAGTCGTGTAACTGCGCGTCTATTGTAAGTTGGAGCGCCCTCCGGCAGGAGTTCGGTGAAGGGCAGCTCAAGTCTATACATCCTGCAAAGCTCCCTTGAGTAGACTCGTTTTGCGCGCATTGAGAACTGGATAAATGCTAGAGAACATCTGGATTATAGTCGATCTACATTGCGCAAGGAAAGAGCTTTGTTGCAGGGGCCACTAAGAACTAAGAATAGGATACTTAGCGTCGCTTACCCGACTCTGCGATTACACGACTGCACACTCGTGTTGTAACTACGAAAGCGAACGCGCGACTGCGTGCATGCGTGGCTACGTAGCCAGTCGCGTGCAATTGTAGACTCTCTGGCCACGTTTGCCACCATCTGCATATTCCGTGCTCACTGCGTGATCTGATCTTCGACTGCCCCTGTCCCTACTAAACACCGCATCCCGTGAACGCAATGATAGCACGCAACATCGGTCACATGTTCTCCACATAACGCAGACCAAGAATTGAGGCATCAGAACGTACACTTATATATTGTGAGAACAAGGGGTGAATCAATAACACCAAGGTGATCGACGGAATGACAATAATGACAACTGCAGAGATGAGAGGTGGGGTGAGATGAGATTGAAGGCCGGTCCGCCGGAGAACGAAAAAGAGAGGGAGAGGAATGTCGATGTCGACGTCGACGTCGAATGCTATCGGTGTTGGCTCGAATGTGGTGCGCATTGTATGTAGGTGTTACCAGACGAACGTATTGAACCACAGAATGAAGGGAGAGAGGGGCGTACATCTTATGCGTGAGGGACAGAGAAAAGCTAACTACTACATAGAACAACAAGGATAGAGCAAGAGAGTGAAGAGGCATGGAGTGAGACGCACGCGATGGGGCGACGTAGTCGCCACGCCAACGTCGACGTCAGGATGCCGGAGCAGGGCAGGACCATGGTGTGGATGACCTGGAGACAAGTCTACACTGCCATCAGATGTGCCGCCCTCTAGAAATGCAATGTGGCGGTACTGCTCACCATTGTGCTAGGCACCGAAACCAGGACAGGCTCACTGCACAAGCGCACCGCCGGCGGGCTTGCCCTTTCCGTCGAAGAACATGCCTCCCGGAGGCGCGACAGGCATCATCCCATAAGGCACCGCCGTAGGCATGACGCCAAACGGCTGATACATGGGATACATGCCAGGCTGGTAGCCCATCGAGCCCATCGGCCAGGGTCCGCGCGCAGTTTGGGGAAACTGCTGCTGCTGCATCTGTCCGGCGTGCATAAAAGTACCGGGATACGGCCCGGGGTACACACCCATCGGGACATACGGAGGCGCGCCTGCTGGGGCTCCAGGGAACAGCTGTGGCATAGGCGGGAGTTGCGCTGGGCCGGACGCGGGGGTTTGCGGGACGGTGAGGCTCATCGTCGAAGACGCGGGAGAGAACGTTGACGAAGACGCAGAAGGGGGATAGGCAGCGTTGCTGCCGGACGAACGCTTGTGTCCGTGTCCGTGTCCATGCTTGCCTGACTTTGACTGATACTGCTGCTGGGCCGCCGAACTCGCGCGCGATGGCGTCTGCGTCGTCTGCTGCTGCGTCTGCTGCTGCATGCCCTGGATGACCCAACCGTCGTCAGTGACCGCTAAACGAGACGATGAACTCTGGCGCACTACGCCGCTAATCCATCCATCAGTGCTGTCTTCTGTCGATGCATCGGGTACGAGCTCCGCCAAGTCCGCATCCTTGCTCGTCGAGGCCTGCCGCCTGTTGCTACTGGACTTCTTCGCCTTCCGGCCCGAACTCGTGCTGCTGCCCGAGGACCGAAGACGGTCGACTATCTCGCGCGTCTTCGAGTTACGCGAGCGCGAGGTGGGCGACCCATCTGTGAGGAACGCAGGCAGGAACGCGGCAGAGGGGCGACGAGGCGTGGTGCTCCGCGTATTGCCCAAGCTCTGCGTCGAGCCCGCCGCAGCCTCTTCCAGGTCCTCAGCGACCTCGATGTAGAATCCGCTCTCGTCCTTCTGGAGTGAAGGCGGAAGGGAGCGTGACTCACGCCTGTCCGCTGGAGAGCTGGAGTTCAATGACGGGAAGTGGAAGTTGTACGTAGGTGACGAGAACGGCGAGTCGGAGGAATTCGAAGAAGACGTCAACGGTGGCGTGGTGGGTTCCCGTGATGATGCGCGGTTGGGGGTTGAGGGAATGAACGTGAGGGCGGCCGCGCTGAGCAGCTTCGAAGGGAGAGGCGAGAGGACGGTCGGAGACACCATATCACTTGAGACGATTCGAGCGTAGGATGCCTTTGTGGGCTTGGGCGTCGACGGCGGGGGATCTGAGTCGACCGACGTCTCCGAGTCCGTGAGATCTGCTGCTCCGGAAGAGCTCGGCGCGAGCAGTGGACTGTCGAGGAGATGGAGATCCCAAAGCGGAACGTCTTGTGCCAACGAGTCGACCTCTAGCAGGGCGCCCGGCTCGAGGATGCCTCCCAGGAGCTCCTGGACCTTCTCGTCCCAGATTCCGTCCGCGTACAGAGGGTCAGGATCAGGAGATGGTACCTCCGCGATCTGAAAGTGATCGTTGGACGGGAGGATAGCAGCATCGACCTCGTACCGCATGAGAGCTTCCTCCGCGACACGCACGCCACATAGCCCATTGTTCAAGCTCACATCTCCCGCGGCACCTCGCGCAGCGCCCTGCGCATCGCCCGCAATCGTCTTTCTCCTACCGCGCGCCAGGTGGTCGTGATAATGTGGGGGACGGGGATGACTCGGCTTTGTCTTGTAAGCCCAGGAGATCGCCCTGAAGGACGTCTTCCACCAGTCGTCCTGCGCTATCTCCCAGTCCCACATCTCTTGATCGTCGACCGGTCCCGGGGCGACCACAGACAGTTCAGAAAGATGAATCGTCGCCAGAATGCGAGATAAAGGGTAAGAAATGGGTGTTAGAGGGTACGGCGGTGGCAACGGCGCAGGGGGATGAAAGAACCGACCCCGGCGGCCGCCTTGAATAAATGGGAACACAAAGGAGTTTATCGGCTTCAATCACACATGCGCAGGCGTCGTGGACAAAGGAGAGGAGCAGCACGTTGTCGTCGTCGTGAGGAGAGTTGCAATGCGGCGCTTAGTCATTTCATAACGCATATAGTCGCCTCCCAGCATCGTGACCTCTGACCTCCATCTGATATATGTCGCGAACGTACGAGACCTCCCTGAAGCACGTCACGTACATCGAACAGCGATGGATGGCGAGGTCGAACCTGGCGAAGGGATCTGACGTGGTACATAGCAAGAACTATCGAATACAGTCAAGTCTCCAGCATCCTATCGACAGGTCCTAGTAGAGGTCAAATCACCAACGGCTATGGCAGCTGCAGTCCTTGTCGTCTAAGATCCGTAAGTCACCAGATCAGCTTCGGTGGGCAGATGTCGATGAACCCCTTGCAGTACATTTATCAAATGGGAGCGATTCTGCCGAAACTTATAGCACAAGACGGTACCCGCTCCTATGTAGCGCCATCGCGGATGACCGTCTTGGGACGCCTGCGGTGCGATAGCAGAGGCAGCTAGTAACCTGGACTTTCAAGGTGCGGCCTCCCCAGCCATGGCTCCCTCTAGTGCGCGAGCGATCCCGTTACGGTGATCCCAACGAAGATACCAGGTGACGAGCAGATACCACATATCAAGGTGCACATACATCCCGCGCTTGGGATCCAGGTGGTCTCGACGCCCGCTGAGATCCATTGGACGATTCGATGAAGATTACCTGGCGACCACCTGGATTCCGTCGGTCAGGCAGCGCAGTGGATTCCGGATGGCGGGCAATGTGGAAGCCGAAAGCATGTCAGGTAGCGTCGATCCCCCAGATGGAATCCACCTGGCTGAATGACATGATGGACTTGTACAGGAGCAAGGGCAGCCTCCCCTGCTGCATGGGTTGTACCCTCGGTCAAGCGCTGCTGTCCTCCCCTCTGCCCTTCTCGGGGGCATATATTGGGATGTTGGCACCTCTGTCAGAGTACACAAGCTCCTGAACACGGTGATCCTCTATGTATCCATGTCTAATGCTCGTAAAAAATGCCTCGGGCTCTCCAGTAACTTCGAGCTGCAGTGCAAGACCAGTTAGTCCCATAGATGGTACTGGCACTGTTACACAAGTCGAAGGTCACCCAGTGAGCACGGAATGTGCAGATGGTGGCAAACGTGGCAGCAGAATATTCAATTGGTACACGATCGAAAGTGATTAGTCAGAGACGTACAGAGTATGTGTGGGATTATACGCAAATGCAGAGATGTATATGAATGTCCGATGGGGCGTAGGTTACATACCTGCAATAGTCACAGTTTCTTATAACGGCGACCGACCGCCTTCAAACCCAAACCTGCCCACGCGCTCGCTCCACTACCGCGGGCATGGTGTCTTTGCGCGAGCGTGGTCGAGAGTACAGTCCAATGCCATCCGGACGTGCCTTCGCAGCAGCAGGGCAAGTTTCGGCGCAAGTCTCCGTAATTTCGTCCACGCGCACCTCAATGACACCCTCGCCGCTGTCGGCGAGCGCGCACGCTTTTTCGTAGGAGGACACCGCCTCATTGAAATGTCGTTCAACGGAACTGCCGCCCCTGAGGTCGGACACGAGCCTGCACAGCGCCTCGGCGACTTCTGTGACCGGCACTGGTGAAGAGAGGGATAGATTCGCAAGGGAGGGGCGGCGAGATGGGAAGCGCGACGCCGGGCGTGTGCTGGTTGTATTCGTGAGGCTGTCGCTGGAGTCAACGGGCGTGCTGAGCTCGGATGGAAAGTCGTATGGCCGGCCGAATGTCGTAAGGCCAGGCATCTTGGGCAGGTTCGCCATCGAGCGCGCTTTTCTGAGATTGGAGAACGGCCTGCGGAGGTCAGGACGGCTCCGTTGAGGCCGTATAATCCTGCGCTCAACGTAGTCGTCGTCAGGTGTCACAAGGGTAGAAGCGGAAGACCCGTATATGGACCGGGAAAGGTTGGTATCGTCGCTAGGCTGTCCTCTTCTCGGAGGACGTTGGTGCTCCGGGCCTGTAACAGGCAGCTGAAACACGATGGAATCAGGCAGGACCAAGTCCCCGGTGGCGAACCCGGGAACAGTCGGAGTGGGAAAGGGACCCGAAGCGATGATAGGAGACGCTAAGGCCGACTATTCAAGCATGGGCTGAGAATTTTATTTGGGGTGGTTAGCTCGTGGTTGAAGGACGTACCTTCCTTGAGTAGTGGAAGCGTTGTGCGTCGTAAGGGCTTTCGTGGCGCATTGTTGTAGGGGAAGGCGGAGGAACATGAAGAGACGTGGCCGGAAGTTCCTCTTGATTGAATTCTATCACTGGCTTGCGCCCAACGGTTTGCTGGACCTTTGCTTTCGATTCCAGAGCTATCGGAGAAATGCGCAACGGCGTGGGCTTCGGCTGAAGCATCGTGGTTGAACTTGTGATAAAAACCCGTCAAATGTCGATTGGGACTGACCTTCGTCGTGCTATCCAGATTTTTGGCGTCCATTACAGGAACGGAGGTGGAGGAAGTATGAGGAAGCGTGGTCATAGGGGAGTGGCTAGCTGGAGCAATGAGTCTCAGGCAATTAAATACTCATGTTCATTGATACGCATTGACCTGCAACCTCGAAGCGGACCGCTTCGAGACCGTCTTCTGGCCGTAGCACAATGGTTGCTTAACGCTAAGGCTTTGACCGTCGTGCATGGGCACGCCGCTTGACGAGCTTTGACAGAAATCGGACAACGTCCTCATTGACAGGAAAACCGTGAGCGAATCCAGTTGAGTGAACGCGCTTTGAAACCCTGGGTGAAACTGCCGGTCGAAAGACGCGCAAACCACCACGCTTACACCACGATCGTACAAGACGTGTTGAATCATCCATTGCCCGTTACATTGGGATGCTGTTACGAAAACGAGGACAGAAGGCTAGTCCTTCGAACTCACTGCTGTGGAGACGTTCACATCGGTGCGGTTTGAGGACGCCACCCTGACCATTCATCAGTACGAACGTAAGCGACTTGAGCTTGAGCCTTATCGTCACGCTTCCGATCCTTGCCACCCGCGTCTTGCACTGACCATACCGTTCCCGGTTCTGAAAAAGGTACAGTCCGTGTATCCTCGATATGAGTGCAACGCTAGGAGTATGGTTCACGCACAAACGCACCTCAGACCACGAAGTTCTCTAAGTGGTTGAGCGAGCAGCGGTCCTGCGACGAAGACGCTTCGGCCGAGTAAAAGCTCATATCAGTTATGGCCATAATGTGCTTCGTTTGTGACACTGCCCGCCAAATCCTCGGGTCCAGATGCGCGAAAAGCAGAACTACAATTTCAGTCGCATAATGGTGAACTCGGTCGCGGTGCGCGCTCGTGTTACCATGATGTCAGTGGGTCAAGAGTCTCTTCTACGATGTGAGCACCACAACAACGAGAAGCATGAAGTTATTGAAGAGGGACAAGTGATTTCAGCGTATCTTCAGAGGCGGAGAGAGGGCCAGTATCGGTAAGGGGTGAGAGGTGAAGGAATGGTAGCCGAGTGCCATGCATATATGCCAGCATTGCCTGAAGAACGGCCGCCGATCCTTGCGAGCAGATCAAGGCAGTCAAATGTACGCATAACCCCAAGTATTTCCAGGGCAGGTACGACAAAGCAGAGTGTCAAAGGTTTCAGAGAGATAGTCTGCGAACCGCGGTGGGGAAGCAAGGGTGCGTCCCAGTGTTCGGGGTCCTCACTTGTAAACGTCCGAGTCGACACCCCTCGCTGGCTTAGTGACAGACCAGCTGCCTATTGTAGTCTGTATCCTCGGTGTTATAGAAAGAGAGAGATCGTGTCAAGGTACGTTTTATGCTTTCACACTAAGTCGTTGCAAGTACGACAGGCTTATGAAAATTTGCACACGCTAAGCTGAACACAGGCAAGCACGCACCAAGACCTGAAAGCATATTGAATGTACAGATATCACTTCATACTTAATACAGGCTAGTGCTGATGTGTCGTGGACAAGGCACAAGGTTTGGTTTTTTGTCCAACAAGCGCCCTCCACACATAAGAGCATCAAGCACCAGGGCTGACTCGGTAACCGTAGGTGAGGGGAGACCCGTGTTTTGGTCCACGCATCTTATGTGCCTGCTAAACACTCCTTAGAAGGTTGTTGACTGCTTGGTATCTCATAGGATCGCTTTCTTGCCTCCACCCGGCGAGCGATGTTTGCAGCTGCGCGGCCTATCGGGACAGGCATGGCGCACCCTCCCTCGCTTCTGGTTCATATGCGAGGCAGGCCCAGGGCTAGTGCTTGCTGCGCCTACAGCACATCTCAGCATGAGTCAGAAAACCCTCCGTTGCCTCGTTTTCCGTCGCCCTTCTACAGCCTTTACCGACTCCTCCTCCGATCCGCAGCTGCTTCGGTACTTGCTGAGCCCGATTCCACATCGACACTGCGGGGTCTATGGCGGCAGGTCTTCTCGCAGGCAACCTCGGTCATGGGGAGGTTTCAGAGCAGTAACCGCCCCTCTCACAATCGACGAATCGCTATGAATAAATGGCTGCAGGAGTGGGACAAGCGCAGTGAGTGACATACTTTGTCGACACATGGACGACGTCGAATACTGACCCAGCCGCGTAATCTCTGCACACACTGCCTGCCGCTGTCTCCGAATCTGCCGTAATGGCGCTCCCGGTACTTGAAATTCACGGAATGCGTTGCCATGCGCCGATCTTGGGTCGCCCGGTGCATTTCCATGCGCGCCGCTCTGTACCGACGTGCGCCAACGTGGCCCGATGCCGCCGTCCTTGTGTGCGCCCCCTATCGCAGTGGATAGCACCCTAGAGCTCCTGTATTACTCCGCCATAACGCGAGGATTACCGCACCAGGTGACTCGGAACCTGTCGAAGATGGCTCGCGCGAACAAGGACAACATCAGCCCCCCGCCCTACCGCCTCGAGGGCGGTGTCTGGGATGGCACTCTACCCCCGGATCACCCCGCCTATAAACCCGGGCACGTCAAAACGAGACGGACAAACCGGACAGCGCGGCAGAGGGACAAGGATCTGCTCGTAGATCGCTCTTCGCACATGCTGAACGAGGTGATCGGGATGGCGGAGGGCTTTGGAGGCGTGTCGTTGGGCAGGATGCAGCGTAAACGGTAATGGCGCTGCTGATGGGTGCGTCCGAGTCTCTGGTGCGAAGAACCGGGGGGAAGCAGGAGCAGGCTAGGGAATGCGGGGTTATGTCGTTGAGTTCTCAGACGGCACTCATCGGAAGCATACGTGACACTCGTCGCATAATCGCACCGGGATAGGTTGTATCACTTCCTCAACGACGACGACGGAAGCGAAGTGCTCTTTTAAACACTGTGCGTTTGTGTCCAGTCATCTCGGAGCCCCCACCTTCACCTCAGCTCGACCATCCACCGGTGATGATGGATGGCTCAGCGGGCATGCTCAACCCTGATACGTGCAATGGTGGGGATGTCGATATCGGTATCGACCAGCTCAGGTTGCTTCAAATTACAGGGAAGTGTTTGGTCATGATCCGACGTCTTTACATGTGTATAGGTACAGAGATTGTTGGGTCCTTCCGCCCCGGCCAAGCGCTTCGCGGAGAGGCGAGAACGGACAGTCTTGCCCGCCCAGTGTCTTCTGCTAATTGTTGTACCCGGCTTCGCGGTTATTCCAGCGTCAGCCTTATTCGTGGCATTCCCTGAAGATATGGCTCGTCATAGTTCAATTCCGAACCACAGTACTTCCCCCAGAGACACTATCTTCCATGAGCTTCCTAGATAGGTTGTTTGCTCGTCTTTGTGTCAGTTCGAAATATCAAGGTGGCAGGGCATAACATGGCCATGATGACAGTCACTGCTTCTGAAAGCTCATCCAGGATCAGGCCAGACCGGATGTTGCGTCCCTTTTACAGTACTGAGTTGACTTTTGATGTCGGCGCCCATGGGCGTTATTGCGATCAACGAGTGGGGGGATCAGGACCGATTGATCGACGGACGACCCTTGTCACCAGACGCCCATCGTGGAGTCATTAGACTTCGTGTCTCATCCAGTCAATTGGCGCAGCGGCATGCTGTATCGTATGGACACTCAATTCGTCGTGCCCGAGATAGATCGTGAGTACGACTGATGCTCTCCAGGCTGATTCGGAAGTGGCAGTGGATTGACGATCGCTTATGATTGGTTGAAAGCGAGAGTCTGTGACGAGTACAGACGCCAGCGGCAAAGTACCTTCCTTCATGCTGTGGCCTCTCGGGCTGTGAGCTTGCCGACGGTTCCTTCTCCAGCTCATCAGCGGATGGTGCTGACGGCGTGGGCTTTCGTTGCAGATCATTTGCTCGGCATATGCGGGCCAGCCTGTTGGGCATCGCAAACGGCAGGACCCGATTGACATCGCAATGGGAAGCGAATGATGACCTTGCAGATGACAGAGGGCAATAATGCTCTTCGGTGCCATCTTGCCATAAGCCCGAGCCGCCGCCGCGGGCGTTGCCCCCATTGGTCCCAGGTACATACTGTATACCGATAGCGGCGCCGCGAGATTGATCGCTCCGTCAGGTTCGTTGCACACGATGTCCCTCGCTACGTCGATCAATGGCAGCCACGGTGTCCATCAGGGTGCAGGAGGTCGACCGCCCCGTGGCCGCTCTGCTGTGATGACATACATATCCCTGCCGGTTCAGATATCCCCCACCCACTCTCGTTTCGCCTTCGCCTTCGCCTTCGTTCACGCTGCTTTGCCCATTCTTTCTTCGCGCCCACGGCGCATATGGCCTTCGGGCGACGAGGTTTAGGTTCTGAGGATTTGCATATTATGGCCGCTGTGCGACCAAAGCTCGCTGTGCTCCCGTCAAGTGGAGCGGACAATGTCTGGAGCAGGACCAATTCGTCGAGGTCGGATTTCTTGGATCTGACGCCCAGCCCTGCTAGTCCCGAGGCGCGAACCACTGCCTTCGCGTCCTCTCTGAGGTACAAGGTGCGTACTACATTGGTCTCCTCGTTCCCACTTGATACAGCTATTGACCTATCGTGCCCCTCTAGGCCACAACCAGTGCGCAGCCTTCTGGCCATGGCAACGTTAAGAAGATGCGGAGGAGAGTCGCTCTTCTGAGTGGAATCCATCTCAACCTCCCGAGTTCCCCGATCGTCAGCACCCCTCCGCCAGGTTCTTCCACAGGAACCGTGTGGACGTTCACTGCGGAATGGGATTCAACAGGCGACGGGTTCATTCTCAGCGAACTCGAGAGCTCAAGCTCGTCGGGATCGTCGTCTGCGAGTATGCGGTTCTTCTCGAGCCCCGTTCCGCGCGACGTGAACGAAGACGAGGTCGAATTCGAGGCTAGCTCTCCTCTTCAAACCAAAACGAAGGCCATGGCCATATCCCTGTCCAGTCACATTCACGCGATGGCTTCGACGTCTTCTGCTACTTCGACGATCATCCGTTCGCCTGTCTCCACGGCGGTCACCGACATTTTCGACTTGTACTCAACGACGCCGAACACGCAATCCTTCGATCTTCCCGATTCTATGAGCGACTCGTCATCCGCTCCCTCATCTCCCGTCGACACCCCATCTCCAACGGACTCTTCCGCGCCGCCTTCTCCGCCTTCCAACGGTGCGAGCAAGATGCCCCCGCCGACTGTTTCGGTAACCTACTTCGAGGAAAGACGTCTGGAGGACCAATATGTTGCACAAACGAGGCACTCGGAGGGGTCGTCTTATACCGACGTCCCTGTCGAGCAACAAATTGTTGTCGCGCCCATGTCGGCGTTCGAGGCTGTCTCATGGGCATCGATTCTCCCTGAGAACCCGCATTACGCACCTGCGCCCAAAACAGCTGGAGTTGTCTTCAAGCGGCCCAGGCCACTGCCACCTGTACCTGTCCAGAGGCGAGCATGAGCACCTTTGGGATACCACTGGGCGACGCACTTCCCTCAACATTCTTTGCCGTCCGGGTCTTGTCTTTGCAACTACCAAGGCAGCCTTTCACAACCTTGTAACCCCGCCGTTTATTTTGTCTTTTCGCATTGCTTTCGATATTCATCCACAACAGGACTATTTACTCTTTTGTCCATTCAACCACCCCAATTTCATCCCAGCATGTTTCGTACGGCTTAACTTTCTATATCTTATTCACACTGCTGGTCAATCTTCATACCCCTTTACTTTATTTCCAACGGCTCGTCGCCGGCATTTGTACATTAGAACCCGCCAATTTCATATCCCCGCACAACCCACAGCCCGCTCCGCATCTGTCGTCAACATCCCTATCACATGTACCCGATGCAGGCTTAGTCTAGACATTATGCATGACTGTCACCCAGGGTGTATCGGCAGCCGTGCACCTCGCAGAGTCGACGCAGACCTCGGCCGCGCGCTCAGTGAGTGGACTGCCCCCTGACCTCAGTCCGATGCCTCACCCGAGCCATCACATCTCCTCATCAAGCATTGCAGCGCGCCGGCATGTCTGCGGTCGAGCGCCAACACTGATGATGGTCCTTGACATGCGGCGTACATTTGCGCTTTCGGAGGCGTCCGCAGCTGAGCTCGCCTTCTTGTTCCGGTCAATTTTCGTCCCACAAGTGGGCCGATCTTCTTGGAGGTGACTGCGTGGGACAGGAGTCTGGACTCTGGAGGATCATCCGCTCGGTTACCAGGGAGCCAATGTGGTGCTCCCACCGTCAATCGGCGGCGAAAGGAGCCATGCGCCGCCTCTATGGGAGACTTGCACAGGCTGATGCCGCCCTTCCGCACAAGCAGCCTGAAGCTGTGGAAGACGATCTTCATTCTCAAAAGCGCGCGGAATTCGGACTCCAACGTTACCGGAGGATCCATCCGCGTACACACGACCACATTGTTGCTTCAGTCTTGGAAAGCACGTGTGACGGCAGTACCTCTACACAGCAGTGGCATACTAACAAGTCCTTTCGCCAGCGGTTTTGTATCAGTGCTTCGCCCGCTCTCCACCAACAAGGAGCCAGGATCCTCGGTTCTGAACCACTTGCGAGGGGCGTGATTAGTCGAGTTGCAATCGTTCGATGCGCCATAAACGTCGATGCCACCTATATTGATTGTCTATCAAGATCTAACAGGCCTATCGAGGGAACATATGGAGTCCTGCTCCGATGAGTCGGCTGATCTAATCGTAGTATAACAGGATGCGCGTGAAATGGTCGTGTAATGAGGTGATCTATACTTGGCTGTACAGACGACAGATGTGTGGTTGAACGTCTTTGTTAGCGGGCCACTAGAAGACTGGCCATGTCAAAAGATATGTCGAAACCTCGACTGACTGTTTGGATCAGTTTCGGACGCTTCCATCTGCACTATAGCGCGTGCTCGCGCATCTTCTGCTCGATGCGCGTCATCGCGCTCGCAACGTCCTTGCAAAATGCGTCCTCGCTTAGCATATTAACAATGCCCGCCTTTTCAAACAGCGCGCGTGGCCCTGATCTGAGGTGGGTAATGTACAGCCCAACACCGCGACTCTGCATGAGTGGCACCGAGGATCGGGGGAGGCGATATTGCCGACAGGGCGGTCGACCATGACGAAGCGTGCAAATACAAATCAGTAGTGTTGACACTTTCGCAGGCTCATAATCAGGGAAGGAGAACGCACCTTGTACGTCTCCACCGTCTCGTAGAAGATCTGTACCGCTCTGAGCACCGAACAGCCCGTCAACAGCGACCAACAAGAGCGTCATGAATGTGCAAATGATGTGTGGGAGGGTGGGATTAGGAAGGAAGAACAGGAACTCACGAAGCATCAATGGTATCCACGTCTGCAAGATGGAAGACCAGAACGTTCGCGTCATGCCTGTGCGGCTCGTCCGCGGGGTGGTGTTTGTCGTGCCCGTATAGCTCGAGCCGCCGCAGTCGCTCTGTATGCCATTGGTGCGGTGCGATACACAAAATAAGAGAGGCGGCAGAATGTTGAGGGAGGACACATTGTAGAGCACAATAACATCAATTGTCATATGAAAGGCGCCCGTGATGGTCAGCATCATGTAGCAACTTGATTTCCAGGTACGTCACACACCTTTGAGCTGTGCGGTGTTGGCTTTGATCGCGGATGTGTTTGGAGAAAGGTACCAAGTGTGGGTTAGTCAAGCTGCCATTGAGCGACACGCGCCCTGACGGCCTCGCACAGTATCGTACAAGCATAGAACAAGCACGCACCAAAGTCGAGGTTCTCGCGTATACGAACAATGAGCACGCCCGAGGCGTCTTCCTCGGCCTCGGGGTTTTCGTCGATAGGCTTCCACCTGTCTGTCCCTGGGATGCGACCCTGTGCACATATCAAAGGTGCAAAGATGCTCGGTCAGCGCTCTTCAGGGCGAACACGGTCGAAGAACGGAGGTGGGAGTGAGAGAACAACCGGAAGGAAAGTCTACTCACGAGGATGGTGAGGCGCGTGCGCGACGAGCGTCGAACGACGAGCAGCAGCGAGATGACGACGCTAACCGCGATCCCAATCTCCACGTTCCATATGATGGTCAGGAAGAACGTCAGCGACATCAGCATCAAATCTATCCACGCCCGCATCCTGTACACAGGCATGGTGGGGTGAGTTCCACGAGAAGTGTTCACGGGGAGGAGTACGTACTTCCAGTAGAACAGCGCATCATGAGGGAACTCGCCCAGTAGGGAGAAGACGATGAGGCAGATGCTGTGTGTTGCGGGGTCGGTCAATTCGGCTACACACGGAACGTGTTACGGATGGCGGAAGCTAGGGGGCTTACATTGACGCCAACACACATTTCGGCAAGTAGTAGAGCCAGGGCAAGAGGAAGAATGTTGCGAGTAAGACGAGCGTCGAAGTAACAAGGGAGGCCATTTGCGTCCGCCCTCCGAGATCTCCATTCAACTTAGACCTGGACACACCCATTCAGTGTCAACAACGGTCGAGCCGAGCTAGGCCATACGACGTGCCTGGTGATAGAGCCGTAGGCAGGCAGGGTCCCCGGAACGAACGAGCCGAAAATGTTACCGGCACCAAGCGCGACAAGCTCACGATTGGGGCTGATGCTATATCCGAACCTCCCTGCGTTCTGCTTAGCGGCAACGATACTGTCTAGAAAACCGACCACAGATATGAGGCTGGGGTGTCAAGGGTCAGCGCGCGGTCGTCGCCAACATACAAACATAGTTTCGTGACTCACATAGCAGTTGGAGTCGTTTTCCTAAGATACTTCAACGTCATATGTCTCAGCGGGAACTGGACGAGCGAATTTCCCGTATTGATTGGCACCGAACCCAGGATCTCCACTCCGTCCTTGTCCCACTCCCACTCGTCCGACAAGACTGAATGTTAAGGTCAGCGTACATGGACCGACCTCCAAGACCTCGGTAAGGAACACGACGTACTCGTAGAAACCACCACAACGATGAACACCTCGGGCAGACGGTAGATGAACCAGTACTTCTTGAACGTCATCCTGAACGTGCGCAGTGCAACGAGCACGCCAAGCGCCCCAAAGCTGATGAACGTCGTGAGCTCGTGCGCGTGCGTGAACGCGTTCTCGATCAGGAACAGGAGCTTTTCGAGCGTCGACTTGGGCTGCAGGACGTGTTCGAGCTCCGTCAGGCCAAACATCGGGATCAGCTGCTCTCTGTAGGTGGAGCCAGCCTGTCAGCCCGGATACCCTGCGAGGACCCGCGCAGCACGAGAGCGCACGCACATCATGATCACAACCGCGACAGCGGTGACAAATCCCCTCAGCAGCGCGCGACTCAACACGACGTCCATGAACCCCAGCCTGAACAGCCCTAGCAGAAAGCTGATTAACCCGACCTGGAACGTGATTATGGTTGAGATCGCGATAGAGACCGCGTTCGGGTCGATCGGGTGCGTGTGCGGGTCGGAGTGGAGGATGTCGTCGACAGCCTGTCCAACGAGCAGGGAGAGCGCGGCCTCGGGCGCGACGTTGAGCTGCCTGGACGTGCCAAGAAGCGCGTAGACGATCCCAGGAATCGCTGCGGAGAACTTGTCACGTTCGGACATTTGACAAGTCAGCTCTCTGGTGTAAAGGGGTGTCAAGGGTTGGCGGGTTCAAGCTCACCAGGCCAGTAACAGGGCTGAGTTTGGCGAGCGAGGAGGCATACGAGACGGATTGGGGTATGAGCATGCTCGCGACGGTGATACCTGCAAGAAAGTCGCCTGCGAATCTGGGTCGACGGGTTGGCATGTTTCATGTTACTCGACACGAGGAAAGCAGGACGTACAGGGAAAAAGAGTACTGGGGTATCCAAGACGTCGATGGGATATAGTACTTCATGCGCTTCCACCGAGATTGCCTGCGCCATAACGGCGGGCGACCGTCGGGCACTGGGGATTCGAAATTGTCAATGAACGCGTCCTGGTGAGCGAGACGAGGATGCGGGACGAGTCAGGACGGACGACGCTGTATTCGTAAGCGAAGCACAGCAGTCCTCATCGCACTATATGTATGGCCTCTACTTGGGATGTTGGAGATGAATAGTCCCTGCTACTGACAGCCACTTGAAGTGCGTAAGGGTACTGATATCATCATGCAATAGGACTGTGCACGATGGGCACATCCATGTACGAAGCGGGAGCTCGTACAGCTATCAAGCATGACGACCAATTTCTCAATCAGACGATGAAGAAAGACCTCAATCTGCGCGGCTTGAAGGGGAAGATGGAAAACAAGACACCGCCCTATATTCGGCTGATTGTGCATAGTCAGCTGGGGGCTATCTCGTGGTGACTTCAGGAGGCCATTGATGTCCTTGGAACCGCGGTGCCAGCACCGGTGTGCATCTCGAGGCCTGCGGCTCCTTGCTGGCATGAATTAGGTAGCGCAGGGTAGTCCAGCAACAACGAGCCATGAGCTGGATACGCGCAGTACGCTTCGCGCTGAGAATCGAAGACCTATGACTAGCTACCTGCATGATTAGATGCGTGCATTCATAGTCCGCCTCAGGGCAGTATCTCGAGGTAAGGGCTTTCTGCGAGCTGGAAGGCATGCTGTCGAGCGAGTTGTTATATGGACAGAGGCCCTTTGGGAGCTCGATGGGACCCGGTGCCGTATTCGATCGCTTTAGGTTGGACGACACCGATGCGCCTTTGCCTAAACGAAGTTCACCAGACGCACTGGACACGGCTCTCGCCTCCTTTCTCTCTCCACGTTTGCCCTGCGGGCCGTGTCCGATACCGCTGAGTCTCAGTTTGACCCTAGCCATCTCATAGGTATGCAAAGAAACGCGACAAAGCTCGCCATGGACAGCTCAGTCCGAGTACAGGAGGTGCCTGAACGAGGAATAGAGAACAGGTAGCACAGGCTCACCTTTCGGAGTTGACACTCCAGCTTCTGCCTCTCCTGGGTCTCTTCCCTCTCGTAGCAGCGCTGTGCGCTCGCCAACTTCCAATCCTACGAGACCTGGTGTCCGGGGAGTCACAGCCCCGCTTGCGGGGAGACTGGACGTCGTAGAGCCGTACCCGGAAAGCGTTTGAACATTATAGCCATGTTGTGGGGGCCCGAGTTGATTCGAATGCGTATGGATATCGGAGCTCGTCGGATCCATAATTCAGAGACCGGTAGTCGGTGGAAGCGAAGGCAGGGGTCGAGTTAAATTCCCTGTGCTCTTGTGTCCAAGTCGCTGCTTGAGCGTGTATAAGCTCAAACCTTGTCCACGTCAAAAGATGTTACAGTATCAAGAGGTCAAGAGGACATGTATAGCCGTGTGTGGGAGATGAGGGTGTAGATATTGAAGACACACAACCCTGGGCCGGTCGGTCGTCGCCTCAGTCACAACACATTTGCCGAGTCCACCGGAACGCCCCACGGCCCGGTGTTCCTGGTGCCTCGCAGCCAAACTTCAGGAACTGAGCTTACCGTATTATATTGTTTTCGAACTTGCTCTGCACCACATCTTTCAGGCTCCTGTAGTCGGGCTGACCTGGGGCTAACGTAGCGCACTTACGGGCCTGCCGCGGAATGCGGGTGAAGACCTTTCCGATGAGATATTTACACAAGAATTGAGCGGCCTACTCGGGTCGCAGGCCAGCCTCCCCCTCACGGCAGGCGTCCCGATGTTTTCTACCATAGAGAAGTCGATCAAAGCGGGAGGCAGGAGGCAATCGCCCGCCTTTTTACCCATTCTCACCAATAGCTCACCTCGTGCCACTTCCGTCTCATAGATTTGTCTCTAGTCGAAAGCATCGGAATGTCTGCTGTGCCTGCCTCTCCTGCCTTCCCTCCGACATCTTCGGATGCTTATGATTATGAAGACGGGTGATCTCACCTCGTTCATGTACTTACCGTCGCCCTCTGCACGCTCGCTCACCACTGACTCGAAACTCATACAGCGATAATAGAAACCGAGCTTTACACGCGGAATGCCCAAGATTTCTAGAGGGACCATTGCTCCATGTCGTCCTCTCTGATCATCCTTCAGACCTATCTATGCATCGCATGCCGGACTGAGGTATACGTAGTCCGAGTACCTTCAAACGTTCGGAAGGCTGCGCTAGCTGGAAGAGTTTGACCTCCGCATGTTGATGCGGTATGTCGATGGCCACACGCTCGCCATACTCTTGTAGCTGCCTGCGCGTTGACGATAGAAAGGTCAAGATCGGGAGGACTGCGAAGCTCTTCGACAAGTGATAAACTCGGGGCTGTGAAGACAAAGATTAGATCCGACTAGAGTCGAAGCAAGATCTTCAGTCAGTAAGGAAAGACTATATTGCAGTAACCAACTGTACCTAGAGTCGAAGCAAGACTACAAAGGTTAAGTAAGTAACTACAAGTTAGAGGTAAAGGTAACGAAGTACTCACTCTTCAGTCAGTAAGGAAAGACTGAAGAGGGAGGACGCAATCTGAAGTCCTTATATACTACAGAGAAGTGTCCATGACTAATCGAAGAGTGGTTAGTCACATGTACCATAGTGCGATGAA